CACAGAATGCATGGATATGTTGTTAGTCAACTTGCTATGCCAATAGGTAGATGAAGACAGAGAATATCGCAATCGGTAATATCAAAGTCCCTGAAAAAAGGTTTGCTCACACCTCAAAATGTGTAAAACTAACTTCTGAAAATGTCAACGTTTGATGACGATTATTTGCAAGACTGGAAAGACATGGGAGGAAATCCGCCCTGCCTCCTTCTCAGGGCGCGGAAACCAGCAAATAGACCTATGAAAGTGGCGCAAACATAAAACAGTAATTAAAATGATAGGTACACGAATGTATTTCGGTAATCACACCAACCATTATCAGCAGCTTCATCATCCCCTACATTATAATATGTGCAAAATGATTCCCTCTGATATGAACTTTGATATTAAGTAAAACTTGGAACTTGAACTTATACTTAGTTAAATCCTCGCACTTATAGGGGGGGGGGTGCAAACAACGTGTGACGCGAGGCTTACTGATGGCCTTGGTTCACTTTTTCGTTCGAGTTTTACATGTTTTATGCTAGTTTTTGGAGCTGATTTCGAATTCAGCAACTACTTGAACATTTACGAAGTAGTTTTGGTGCCTTCGTAACAGGCTACGAAGCATATGTCCTTGTACGAAGCTGTCAGTGCTGGTTGACACCTATTGTGAATGAGGCAGGACGCTTAATGGTTGACCTGACTTGACCTAACCCGACCTGGCCTAAATGCCTGAAGACATCAACTGTGATCAAAACTAACATTAAATTCGTTATCTCATCACCCCGAAAAAACGTAACAGCCTCCCTTTACCGAAGTTCTGACAGGTCCCGATTTTCCCGACTGTTGGGTATTGACCTGACCTGGTATTAGGTCACCAAATGACCCGGGACCTTAGAATTGGGTATCAACGGCTTCCTTTCGTCACGGGCAGCACGCTCGTTTTTTTATTTTGTGAAGCTCTTGCTCGATCAGAAGCCGAATGGCACCTTCCTCTACAGTCGTTCGCGGCTGGCAAAACGCCAATACGGGTGAGGGACGAGGGTTAACCCTCGCCCTGTTAGGCATAGGCGGTCCCAGGGGGGCCACGGGGGCCATGGCCCCCCTTTAGTGCCGAAAGGTGGGGCCATGCTTTCTTGCGCCATCAAAGGAAGTAAATTTCACTCATGAGTGGGCTCAGTTTCACATTCTGTCAATTTGGCGGTCAGTGTCGCTGGCACCGGTTCACGAGGACAGCCAGAACTCATGTGGAATATCGGGGTGGGTTTACTTGAGGCTCTCAGTCTCGTAGGCACAGAATTGGCTGGCATGAGACTCTCCTCGGCATTAGAGACCCACTTCGGCACGCTCATTTGGCCCTGCCAAATGAGCGTGGCTCTACGACACTAAAGTATGACCTCATTGGATGGCGCTGTGCAACTCAGAAGCCCGGTGGTGACCCCGTATGCCGGCCGGCTTGGTTCCTTAACCCGCGCCCCGCTGGGCTATTCAGCCATACGCGCCCTGCTGGGGGGGGGGGGGGGCAGATTCTGCACCCCCTGTCTTAGGTACTTCCGAACTGATGGTCGTAGAAAGACGGGGAAAACTGCAATCGAAAGCTCTCAACAAGACGGATCTTAAGAGCCCAATTTTTTCGCTTAATTAGGTCAGAGGTCAGGTCAAGGGTACAAAATGCAAGTTTCTACAGTAGGTATCGGCCTTGCACTGTAGTTGCCGAAGAATGGACTGAGACTGATTGCCCAAAACGTGTTCTTAGGCCACCAAGACAATATACATTGCATACAATGTCATGCAAAGGTCAAGGTCAAGGTCAGGTCAGGTCACCAAAAACGAAATATAGAAAAGGGTATGTGCGACAGATGTTTTATGGGTCATTTTATTCATAGAATTCAATAGGCACACTCAATAAGTGATATGGACCACATCTGGATGAAGTTCAGGTCAAGGTCAGGTCAAGTGAAGTCAAATTTTGAAGTTGATTGTTAAGGCCTAAAAAAGTGTCTATATGATGCAGTTTTTCACGGCAAATCGAATGGTGGTATTTTTGTTTCCGTGCGAGGTCTAGAACTTAAAAAAATCATTTTTCAAAAAATTTTGTGTGTCGTGACGTCATAAAATTTTGCACAACTCCCACACTTTTGAACGGATTCTTAAAAAAATGGTATGTAGGTGCACATAGGCCACTTCTCTGACATATATTCCGTTTTTTTCGATACAGGATTAGGGGCCATTTGGGATTTTTAGTTATTTTTCCAAAAAAGTCAGTTTTTTAAATTTGGGCCAAAATCCAACATTTTCAAAAAACGAGAAAGCCATTTCATGGACAAAGTGGAATCACGTATTACCTTCTTTGTTACGTCTTGATTCCTTTAAAAATGAAGATGTTTGCGGCGTTTGAAATTTTACCGTTTTTGAGGTGAAATTGGCGGACATGACGTCACTAAAACGTCATTTTCTAAAAAAAAAAATCCGACGGATTTCGCTCAAGTTTTCAGGAAACATCTTAAATTGATGTATGATAAGGTACTGTAAGTTTGACGTCGTTGGCGTAACGCGTTTAGAAGTTATTGACGAAAAACGGGAGGGGGCAGATTCTCCCCCCCCCCCCCAGCGGGGCACGGGTTAAGGATTAGCGCGGGACCTCCAGGGCCTGCGTATTAGAGATTGCATGAACCAGTATGTGATCTCAGAGGCCTGTGTTATGTGATGGGAGGGGGGGATCAGGGCTATCCCCCAAAGGCAAATAAGGGGGCATCATATAATTTGCTCCTTCCCCCCTCCAAAGAGCCGACGGGCCCCCATGAGCGTATGTGGCCCTGGCCCTTATCCGATTGTCACGAGGCTCAAGAAACCCACGCCCAGCTATTACCTAATACATAGCTCCCACACCGGTCTTCGAGCGTCCTACACTGAACTCGTGAGGGCCCTTCAATGGCGGTCAAGCGCACATATTGACCGTTAAGAGCCCAGAACGACCTCTGATGGCCCTCCACTGGCCTTTGAGGGCCCCTAAACCGGCCTCAAGGGCCCCAACCGGCGTCTGAGGGCCTCACGCCGGTCTCTGGTGGCCTTATTTCTGTCTCTGGGGCCCAAAGGCCAAAACTAACCTTTAGGTGCCTATGAGGGCCCGTACTGGCTGCTGAAGACCCGATGCCGGCCTCTTAGGGCCCGCATCGGCCTCTGATGGCCCATCTTGGCCAACGCCGGCCCATGCCGGACTTTTAGGACTTACGCTGACATCTGAGGGCCCCATGCCGGCCTGTAAGGACCCACATTAGCCTCTGAGGACCCAACTCGGTCTCTGATGGTCTCAACCTACTGGCCTTTGCAGGCCCTGCACTAGTTTCTGAGGGCCCTAAACTGGCCTCTAAGTGAAAACATTCAGGGGTGGACTTCTTAAGTTCTGAGCCAATCTGAGGACTCACGTAGACTCCTGCAGAGCCTAACGTTGGTCCCGATGGCCCCGCGCAGATTCCCTCATATTTCGGCGCCGGGGCCGCATGAGCCGGTGTGGGTCCTTGGCTGACAGGGACCGATGAAGTCTACAGGGCCCAGGGAAGTCTTTTTGAAACATGCTATACGATCCAGGGACTATACGATCCAGGGACTATACGATCCAGGGACTATACGATCCAGGGGCGCAGAGAGGTCAGAAGGGCGCCGAGCAATCAGTAATGCTAAGTTAGTGGGGACGTAGGGGCGCCAGACGGTTACGAGGGCGCCGTGAGACCATGAAAAGGGGCGCCATTCTCCTAGAAGGGCGCCAAGTGATTTAAAACGCTATGTGGTCCAGGGGATGCACGGAGTCGAGGGATGCACGGTGGACAGAGACATACCTAAGAGAGCGAGACTTTCAGGAGGGCGCCGTTAGACCATGAGAAGGGCGCAGTGCTGTCAAAAGGGCGCCATTTTCCCAGAAGGGCGCTGAGTGATTAAAAACGTTATATTATCCAGGAACGCGAGACGGTCAGGAGGACGCCGTTAGAGCATGCAAAGCGCGACGTGGTCTCGAAAGGGCGCTTGTAAAATAAGACTTGTGGGTGCATTTTCATCATTGTGGGGGCCCATATTTCAGGATTGTGGGTGCACCTGCCCTCACAAAGAGATATAAAATTACACCCCTGAAAACACCACCAGTCGATTCAGCGCATTTGATTTAATCAGCCGTTTCGAATATGGTGACATCAGGTGACCTCGGTGACCTTTTGAGGTCGTGTGACCTCAGTCCCAAGGTCAACGAGGTCACCTGAGGTCACCATATTCGAAACGGCTGATGAAATCGCATCGCTGAATCGACTGGTGGTGTTTTCGTCGCTATCGGCCCAGTAGTTCCTGAGTTATAGAATGGCTGCCATAGGGGCCACAGCGGTCATGTGACCTCCCCTCCCAAGGTCAACGAGGCCACCTGAGGTCACCATATTCGAAATGGTAGATGAAATCGCATACGCGGATTCGACTGATGGCGTTTTCGTCGCAATCGGCCCAGTTGTTCCTCAGTTATAGAATGGCTGCAATAGGCGAAAACGTCAAGTTGACCTTTTGGGGTCACCGAGGTCACCTGAGGTCACCATATTCGAAACAACTGATGAAATCGCATACGCTGATTCGACTGGTGGTGATTTCGTCGCCATCGGCCCAGTAGTTCCCGAGTTATAGAATGGCTGCCACAGGCGAAAACGTAAACTTGACCTTTTGAGGTCACCAAGGTCACCTGAGGTCACCTTATTCTAAACAACTGGTAAAATCGCATACGCTGATTCGACTGGTGGTGATTTTGTCGCGATCGGACCAGTAGTTCCTGAGTTATAGAATGGCTGCAATAGGCGTCAATGCCAAGTTGACCTCTTGAGGTCACCAAGGTCACCTGGGGTCACGATCTTCGAAACGGCTGATAAAATCGTATCCTCTGATTCGAATGGTGTTTCGTATGTTTCGATCGGTCCAGTAGTTCCTGAGTTATAGGATGGCTGCAAGGGTGGCGGCAAGATACCTATAAGAAACGGTGGCGGTCGAATAGTGTTGTCCGGTTACAAACATTGCGCGGAAGTTTCGATAATTGCGCAAGCGTTTATTTCCTCTCTCTATCTATAGGAATCTTGCCTCTCTCATGCTTTGAACACTCATCTAATGCATGAACTCATACTAATGCTTTCGGTTAACATATTTTTCTGGCAATTTTATTTTAATTTTAATTTTGAAACGAACTGAAGTTCGTCCCGGCGTATAAAGTGCGGCTCAAGAAGGGTTTGGCAATGAAACTTCAAAGTGATACAGCCATGAAGAATATTGGATGGAACAGTGGTGAATCAAATTCAAATTTTATCAATGAATTCGGCGGAGTGCCGAACCTTTTGAATAATTCAAGCCATGCATTACAAAATTCATGATGTAGAACAATGCTAATCAAGCAAAGAAAATGAATCTAGGTTAAGCTGTATCGGAATGTTCCATATTTCTAGATTTCAGAGCCAGGGACAGTCGCTTACAAACATCTTGTAGGCTATCAAATTAATGTAAAAATTGTGCTGTGTGCTTTCAGCACAACTTATAATTATCAAGTGGTTTAGCTTTGATGTTGATGTAAGGTATGTTTGGAACACAACTAAATGGTGCTGGTGGTGCAAAAAGTAACATCTGATCTTTACACCAATGACTGACGTTGATCGCTACTGGGCGATTTCAGGTTATCAAATGTGATTGTAGCACAACTTGTAAAAGTGGCACAAACCCTGTTACTTTGAACACCTGATGTGATGTGTAACACTGATGGCTGATTTCGAGTCTAATTGGCAAATGTTGTTGGTATCAGCAGTCTGTGTTAGAGTGGGGTTGCCTAAAGAACTGCTGCTTTGTGCAGCAGTTCTTGCAGGCCTATGCTGCTTTGTGCGCAACAAGTGCCACACTTTCAAATAAAGTCGCTAGGAACAGCAAAGATCCCAAAAAGTAAACAAAAGTAAATGTGTAATATCTTGAAAACCGGTGAACATTTTTTGATGAAACTTGGCAGATACTCATTTTCGCTTTTTCTGAACCATGTGACATCACTTTCATGCTAATTCATTAACTTTTATAAAGGTGGGATGGTCCCTTTAATCCAAGGCTATATAATCTGCTTAACCCCAGCTAAGACTGAAAAGTTGGTAATAACATTTGATATCATGTGGAGCTGTCATATATTTTGTTACCATAATACCATACTGATGCGATGTATTTCCAGGATACGTTGATAATGATTCATGATGTGAAAAAGTACTTAGTTTTGTAGAACCATCATGTCCACCTCATCTGCCAACCACTGCTTTGCTGTGGCTGATTCCGGTGCAGCCGGAGTCCAGGAAAGACCACAACTGCCCAGGCCTGGTCAGTGAAGTGAGCTAAGTCTTTCCTCCCAGAATATCTGCATTCAGCTGTCAGTTAATCATCTCTGTCAAGTGTCATATCAGTTGGGCAAACTAGGCTTCTGGATCACAAAATGGAGGCATAAAAAAATTGATTCTTCATGACCATATTTGGGATAAATGTAGACCGTTTCGTAATCATCAATCATCTAAGAATAAGCCAGTGTTTCAAGAAGGAACATACTTATGTTGAACAGAAATGTTGGAACTCTACTGAGCACAATAACATTGCTTTACCTACTCATAGTTATCTGACTTCTGAAGGGTAGTGAAAGGCAATCAATAAATTGATTCACTTTAGACAGATGATCAAAATATTGATTCCATGCTCAGCTGGCTAATCATTATTTTGATTCACAGGTAATGTTAACAGATAGGCAACAATGGCTTGCAAGAATACAGCATTCATCTTGCCGTCATTCTCATTTAGTGGTATCCTCAGCACCACAACAGATACCTATAGTGTTGTTGTACTTTGCCTTCACTACATTTGATAACAATTCACCATTTTTAAATGTCAAGAATACAAAAACTGAAGCAACAGGTAAAAACCATATAATAACTGGGAGAGCACTACAACAATGAAAATTAGGGGTTTGAAAATTTCATTTTCCCATTTGACACAAATACCACTAGAAGTGTGTGATCATGATACAAAAATAACATACAGTGTGATTTTTCCAAAGCAGCTTTTACATGATGCAGAGTGGCTCTTTCTTTTTCCCATTCACAAGGCCAAAGTGACAATTTCTTAGTTTTGAAGTAACACTTTTTGCATACCTACCACATTTTTCTACCTACTTGAAGAAAAATCTCACTACCGTCATGGGCCTTTTTCAACCGTAACGATACATTTGATTTTGAAGTCAAAAGTGTACCCAAATGAATAAAAAATTGATTCCATGCCCATATTTGGTCATGGCTCCTACCACCTGAAACAAATTATTGATGCATCCATATTTTGATTCCAGAAGTCTAGTTTGCCCAACTGATATTATCAAAACTTTCATTTCATGAACAGCTGTCAAGTGTCACCTCACCTACCTACTTTTAGATGTTTCAATAGTCTGGTGTATTATTTGTAGCAGTAGATCAGATGTCCGTTGGGATTGGTACAACCTTTGAATATCATGAACCACTGTATTTGTAAGCAAGACAGTTTCTTTTTTTTTGTGCCAAATCTCTGAAAGTTTATTTGATTACTATTATGGCTAAGCATCAGGTAATAAAAGGAGCATAGAATACCTCTAGATAAACATGGTAATCAAATGTAGGTACCCAATATACCTACTTGACTTGCAGCCCCCAAGCTATTGCTGTTTGGTTTTTGTATTCTCATTAATAAACAAAGCATAAGTACAGAAACGTTATATAATATACATTTGCCACAGTTGCCACACTGTAACCCATAAATGACGCAAAAGTTTAAAGCTGCTGCGTCATGGAGTCTGTCCCACTGACAAACATCTTTACCTATGTGCCTACCAGACGAGAGTCCGCCATCGGCGATGACCATCGGCACGTCGTCTCGGCGCCAGGCGCTGCTCAAAAGCATCGCCGAGCTGGAGACTGAGAGGTGAGGACGGCTCGGCTCCATCGGCTGGCCTAGTGGATACTGGGCTGGGAGTGCACGGGCGCGGGACCGGTGCACTATGGTTGGAAACGGCCTCACGGATGGCCGGGAGTCAACGCGAAAAAATGTTTTGCCCATAACTTGTTAATGCGTAGACCGACTGCGATGAAACTTTGCATAGGTATACCAGTGTCTTTCGTGCATCATACAGTAACTCAGAAATGACGAGGTCACGTCACGTCACGCGTGTGTGACGTCATCATTGCAAGTATGCTATAAGTCGCCTATGTCTTTCGTTATGTTATCGATATCGCTAGGCATTTTGAACATGTTTTGAATACTGCTATTACTGAATGGATATTGTTGTTATGCTTTAGGGCGAGAAATATCAACGTAGTGACGCACAGTGTCTTACTATTGGTCATAAAGGGTAAAAAATTTGGAGAAAGAGTATTTATGATTTTTTTTTAGATTGGGCAAAAAAGTAAGAAATAAAATGACGATCAAATGACAAAACATGCGTCAGATTAACCCAGCAGTTGCTGGGGTATTTCCCCATCCGCCGTTTGCCGGGGGGGGGGGGCGTTCAACGCCCCCAGCCGATAACTCGCGAACAAATAGGCGCAGCGAAACGCACGAGGCGCGGCAAACGAAAGAAGAACGCGACGAGACGATTCACATGAATACTTTAAAGTTGAATTTCGAGGTCACAGATCGGGTCAAGGTCAGGTCAAACACTTGAAATCGGGCTTTCAGTAGCATGGACTTTAGAACCTCGCAATCGGTGCCTCGCGTTTCGCGTTTCGATTATATCGTCATCAGTTGGTCCTAAATAAATTCAGTCATCAGTTGGTCCTAAACAATCTGTCACAACTGTCATAACTGTCACAACCCTTCATATAAGTGCTAAAAGAGTGTCAGATCAATGTAGGGGTCAGTCAAACACAGGCCACTGGCCAGGGTCAAAGTCAGGTCAATCAGGTAAGCACATAACCCCGAAAATTAAAACTGGTACCTATTCGCAGCCCATGCATGACACATGTTTTATGGGTACTTTTGGGCGTAGAACACGATGGTGACATTCATTTTATCATACGAGTACGTGGCTGGTTGAAAAAGAGCAATTTCAGAAATGCATGCATCATGGTCGTGAAGTAGTCACGAGAAATTGCCAACATTCAGTTCAAGATTTTGGAAAATGTAGAACGATGATCAAAAACCATAGATAGCCATTTGATTTGCCATGGTATTGGCAGTGTAATGGCGTTTACAGCATGTCTGTATGTCTGCTCTGTCGGTGGTTATCCATATCCATACTCCAGGATATCCATACACGTTTGCACGATATCCATACTCCAGGTGCAGGGGCGAGCAGTTACTTCTTACGAGGGGTGCGGAGTCGAAGTCAGAGTCGGAGTCAGAGTCGGAGTCGGAGTCAGAGTCGCCCAGAGTCGTGGCAACGAGCCAGGAGTCGGAGTCGGAGTCGGGGTCGGTCAGGAGCCCGCAGTGGAAGTCGGAGTCGGTCCGAATCGGAACAGCTCCATCACGACTCCGAAACACTGGCAGGGGTCCGGAGTCGGAGACAGAGTCGGCCGGAGTCATGGCAACGAGTCAGGAGTCGGAGTCGTAGTCGGAGTCGGATTTGGCGCCACCACGACTCCGCAAACCTGCTTCTTACCATCATTTATAAGGATAAGCGATTGCAAGACTGACGAGCCGACCTGGTGCTAACGAAGCGACGGGTAGGTACGCCTCGGGAGATGAAGCTTCACGGACGATTTTGCGCACAATTGCGCAGTCTGCTTTTACGTTCCCCTTACGCAGAATTGAACAGAGATTTATTCTGCCAAAAAGCTCAATGGAGGTCGATGGAGAACTTTTTGTATGTCCAATGAAACATAAACGTAATTTTGCAAATATTGCTGTGGTGACACTGCAAACAGAATGCAATGCCGTTCCTGATTTTGAACACGCATGGGAAAAAGAGTCACTCCACTCGATAGCCAACATAACAAGGATTATTTTGATATATAATAATCCAGTTTTACAACGTCATGGAGGTACTCCACATGCTATCACCAGCGCGGTTGTTTAAACCTTTGACGGCGCACCAAAAAAGCCACTATCAGAAACTCCCGATTCCACGTACAATAATGGAGACTAAATGCGCAACTAAATAATTTTTTCTGCCCAATTCAAAACATTTCATCAATTTCCAACAGAATGACACCCCAAATATACATAAATTCCGAAATTGCCCACGGCCATCCGTGAGGCCGTTTCCAACCATAGTGCGGTGGCCGGGGAAGGTGGACTGGGTGGTGTATAGACGTGGGACGGTCCTCTGGTGGGCTGGGGGGCGGGGGGGGGGGGGTTGGCGGATGATCCGCACGGCGCCCCAGGTCTCCGGGGCGCCAGAGAGAGGCGGTTGAACTTACCACTATCGCTTGGAACTAGGAGCGGAGTCAGAGTTTGCGTAAGCACCATCAGTTCTATTGTTGTGTATCCGGTGACACCAGGGCGATTCGGAAGGGAGAGATGCGATTTCCGCGTGGGAGGCGGGCTGTACGCGATTTGTGAATTTAATGGATGGGAGCAGGAAGCGATTTACCAACTAGGCGCGATTTGTACGCGTTTGGAGAAGTTCAAAGGTAATGAACTCCCCATTCTGAACCCCAAGGCTGTGACCAGAGATGATCTCTGTGACCTGACATGACCCAGCGGTAGTGGTATTACCCCCCAGGTGGGTGATGGGGACTGACGTGTTACCCTCCCCAGACGGGCGGTAGGTACACTGACGTGTTTCCCTCCCCAGGTGGGCAGTGGTGGGTATTGAGTGACATGTTACCCTCCCCAGGTGGACAGCGGTGGGGACTGACGTGTAACCCTCCCCAGACGGGCGGTAGGTACACTGACATGTTTCCCTCCCCAGGTGGGCAGTGGTGGGTATTGAGTGACGTGTTACCCTCCCCAGGTGGACAGTGGTGGGGACTGACGTGTTACCCTCCCCAGGCGTCTGGCGGTGGGTACTGTTACCCTCCCCAGGCGGGTATTGACGTGTTACCCTCCCCAGACGGCTGGCGGTTGGGACTGATGTGTCACTCTCCCCAGACGGGTGGTTGGGACTGGCGTGTTACCCTACCCAGGCGGGTGGTGACCCGGGTGGGTATTGACGTGTTACCCTCCCCAGGTGGGCAGTGGTGGGTATTGAGTGACGTATTACCCTCCCCAGGTGGACAGTGGTGGGGACTGACGTGTTATCCTCCCCAGCTGGGCAGTGGTGGGTATTGAGTGACTTGTAACCCTCCCCAGGCTTGTAACCCCCCAGGTTTGGGACTGACGTGTTACCCTCCCCAGGCGGCTGGCGGTTGGGACTGACGTGTTACCCTCCCCGGGCGGCTGGCGGTGGGTACTGTTACCCTCCCCAGGCGGGTTTTGTCCCTGGTGGGTACTGACGTGTTACCCTCCCCAGACGGGTGGCGGTGGGTATTGACGTGTTACCCTCCCCAGGCGGCTGGCGGTGGGTACTGTTACCCTCCCCAGGCGGGTATTGACGTGTTACCCTCCCCAGGCGGCTGGCGGTGGGCGCCGTCTCGGCAGAGGACGAGGAGAAGCGCTGGCTGTATGGCCAGATCGCCGCCCTCCAGAGGAAAATTCAGCAGCTTCAGACGGGACAGGTGAGGGAAGGGGGGGGGGCTGAGGAGGGCACTGTGGTCAGGTGAGAACACGAGGGAGTCAGTGCTGACTGCGGGGCCAGGCCGGTCCTACTCCGTGGGGAACTTGCTGGGACGGGTGTGTGCTATGCTAGCGGAACACCATGTGCTAGCCAGCGTTGTATTTCACATGTCAGCTCGCCGTGAAGGAACGGACCGGACAGTAGACACGATACGTTCACGGTTCAGCAGGCCGTATCCCAATTCCCATGTCTGTCACTGCTTCACTTTAGCCAGTCGGTTGGAGTCTTTTTGGTTGGCTTTGATGCTGGTGGATGTCGAAAGCCACACAACTATTACTCCATGAGTCCAGACCCTGTCCATTTAAGTAGAATGTGACCCGTCAAAGTCCATCTAAGTAGGGTGTGGCGTATAAGATTTATAATAGTTAAACCTTAAAGCAGGCGGCATAAAAAGGCCGGCTAAGGTAAAACAAAAGGCCAGTCCATTTACGCCATCCAGTGTGGCTCTCCTCTTCTCACCTCCTCTCGTGGAACCACCTGTTTCTGCACCGGGCGCCTTTCATAGGTCGCCCGTTTCGCCCCGCCGTCCCCCGATGCGCCGCCTGTTTGACCCGCCGCTGACCGGCCCTGTGTTCGCAGGTCGGCGATACGCCGGCCGAGAACCCAGAGCCGCCAGTGGCCGGCTCCCAGGCCCGCCTGGAGCGCATCGATGCCGAACTGAGCGGCCTGCGCGGCCAGCTGGAGGCGCTGGTAAGTCTCCGGCCGGCGGCCGCGGTACCTCGAGTCTACACGTACCACTGGAGCCTAGGAGCGACGGGGTGTCGCTCGCCGCCGTGTCTACGCTATCCGCGAAAACTTTGGCGGGTGGGGGGGGGGGGGGGCATGCCTGACTGGGCGAGGGTTAGGTACCAGATTATCATCATCATGACTCCCGGGCGCACTGATCCGGCCCAGCGAGCGAGCACGGCCCAGCATTCGCCACTGAGTGCTCCCTTTATAGCACCTTCCAACTGTGTCGCTGAGCTAGATGAGAACAATCATGCTTTCATTGCTTCTCTGTAGTCAAAAGGTGTCCATTTATACGCTTGGACCCCACTGTCTGTGGTGGTCATTTTTCGTAAAACGTCACATTTGTACAAATTTGCTTGTTTATTAACAGAGAGGCATACAAACGCGGTAGCGAACCAGTTTATGAACCAGAACCAGACCCAGACCACTGACTAGGTTATGACATTTCGCCATCTGGAAGTTTCAAAGCGTTTTTTTTTCTCTCGATGCGTAATAATTATTCTCAGTATATACAATTCGGCGGGTTTTTACGCACCCTGGGTGGCTTGTCAGCACTCCAACATTGGTCTTAGGGGTCTTGTAATATCGGTCTTCTATAGGGTCCTAAATAATCAGAAACAGCCAGCTACCACATGCCGGAAAGGCTTACCGGCGAGCTCACTGCACATTCAGGTCAATACGACACAGGAAGTGAAACGAGTCCGAACACGAGGCATCATTCCAGTGTCCGGTGACCGACTGGTGCTGCGGTCCGTACACGTGCACGCAGTGCTCGGACGGGTTGTTTGGCTCGCTCGGAGCCCAGCTGGCGAAATCCACCGGGCTGCCGTCCGTCCAGCCGAATGTGGCGGCGCCGGTGCGCGCCAGGCCGATCCAGACCATTGGGTGGCCGGCGCCGCTGACCAGCTGCGCCACGAACGCCTGGTTGTCGGGGTGCACGGAGGCCAGTCGGGCGCGCCGGTCCAGCTGCGCACAGCCATGCTCTGCCGCCGGCCAGGAGTTGGGCAGCGGCGGGATCAGGTAGCAGCTGTGGCCATGCCGGCTCCAGGACGGCGGGCAGGCGGGCGGCGGCGGCGGGCGCGGCGCCAGCTGCTCGCGCAGCGCGGCCACCTCCCGGCGCAGGCCGGCCATCGGGGCCGAGACGGCGTCGGTCAGTCGGCGCAGACACACGTCGGCCAGGCCCGCCACCAGCCGGTCGCTGGTGTCGCTGGCCGACTGTGTGGCGCCGGAGCCGGTCAGCCAGCACGCGCACAGGACAGCGGCGGCAGTCGAGAGCAGCATGCTGGCGCTGGGTCGGCTGACGGTGACCGCCCGCCGGCGACTGAGTTCGCAGGGGCCGCCGCCGACCGACCCAGGCGGGCACTGTATGCCTACACAGTAGTGTTGAATAAACAGTTTATAGCGATAACTGGGGCCAGAACCCTGCCCTTTCAATCGTGTTAAAGTGCGACTGGAAATCCCGTACATTGTTAGTGCACAGTTGGAGCACTGGCTGCCGTTTTTGTCCGAGATTTAAATCATTCTGCAATGCTGCATATCATATTTGCTCAAAGCTCTGACTTTTGTGTAACGATTGCTTGGTTTTGTTTTCTACAGCAAAACAATTATGTCGAATAGTGGTCTTATCTTTTAAACAGAACTTTTAGTTGCTCCATTATCATTTTGTATAATATATATATATATATATATCTATATATATATATATATATATATATATATATATATATATATATATATATATATATATATATATATATATATATATATATATATATATATATATATATCTATATATATATATATATATATATATATATATATATATATATATATATATATATATATATATATATATATATATATATATATATATATATATATATATATATATATATATATATATTTATATATATATATATATATATATATATATATATATATATATATATATATATATATATATATATATATATATATATATATATATATATATATATATATATATATATATATATAACAAAAACATTAATAAGCTGTCATCTTCTGTTTGTGGGTTTTGCTTCAGTTTTATCCATGAATCCTGGGCTCCCCCACTGGTGACTGGGCTCAGTAAGGAGTTTTCCTTATAACAGTGTTAGAAGTTCATATCGGAATATACAGACATTTGCCGCCAGAGCTGGAAATTGACTTTTTTATGCGTGCAAAGGTAGAAGTTATTGATGCTGACAACTTTGAGAATATATGCAACATCTTGTTGCTTGTTGCACCCATTGTGTTTCTAAATGTATGACATTTAAAATTCTTGAATTATGTGCTTATGTCCATATTTATATGGATAATTGCATCCTGTGGTGCAATATAACGAAGTGTGCACCTCCCTATCACTATGACCTACATCGGTGTGTGTTTGCGTTTCCTTTCAGTCGAGTTCTGCGTCCTCCTCTGACGAGCTGGCGGACCAGGAGGAGGGCGGCGGCGGCGGTGGGCCGGGTGGGCGGCGCGGCGGCGCCTCCGAGCGGCCCTCCAACGGCACCGCGGCGCGCGGCCGCTCCTCCGCCGACCGGCCGCGCTCGCCGCTGCCCGCGCCCGCGCAGGTGAGGACCGAGCGGCCAGTGACGGTCTGCCGTGCAGCCACTGCCGGCCGGAGGCGCGGCCGAACGTCCGGTGTGGACTGACTGTCCCTCCCCGAGCTTCTCGTTGTGAGCCTACAGTCCATTTCTCCCTGCTCAACGTGCACCGACCTTTCCTCCTCTCTACTCTGCGTGTACTGATTGGTCCCTCGCTCTGTACTCTGTGTGGACTGACTCCTCCTCCCCTCCCCGCCCCGCTCGATGTGCGGACAGGCGGCAGAACTGACCCCTCCCCTCCCCGCCCCGCTCGGTGTGGGAACAGGCGGCAGAACTGACCCCTCCCCTCCCCGCCCCGCTCGGTGTGGGAACAGGCGGCAGAACTGACCCCTCCCCTCCCCTCCCCGCCCCGCTCGGTGTGCGCGGCCGGCAGAACTGACCCCTCCTCCCCGCTCGGTGTGGGAACAGGCGGCAGAACTGACCCCTCCTCCCCGCTCGGTGTGCGCGGACAGGCGGCCGGCGGCGAGTCGGAGCTGGTGGTGTCGCTGCTGGGCCTGCTGCGCTCGGCGGACAGCGCGCTGGTCACCAGCACCCTGCTGACCATGTCTGCTGGCGCCGAGAGCGGCGCGGCGCTGCGTCAGGCCGGCGCGCTGCCGCTACTGGTGCAGCTGGTGCACCGGGGAGCGGCCACCGGCGACGGCGGCAGGCAGGGCGCGCCGCGGCCCGACAGACAGGTGCGCTGGCAGACTGAGAGGCTTAGTCATAGTATGGACGGCGACTGAACATGTTGACCGACTCCTGTCATCATAGTATAACTCTTCACACTCTGTGCGATATCCTGTCTTGCCAGCCGCTCGTGTTGTACCGTGTCTGACCGGGCGCTGCCGGTGTGTTGCAGCTGCGCGCGGCGGCGGCGCGCGCGCTCCATAACCTGGTGCGCAGCCAGCCGGACGGGCGGCGCGCACGGCGCGAGATGCGCGTGCTGCGTCTGCTCGAGCAGCTGAGGGAGTTTGCCGAGAGTCTGTGGCAGCAGGTGGACGAGCGCGGCCAGCCGGGTCTCGCCGACGGTGAGAGGGAGGGCGGGGCCGGCGAGAGCGGACAGAGGGAGGGGGGATGGATAGAGGGGGAGGTCGGGCAGCTGGATGGATGAGTCCAAATGGTCACATGAGATGCATGGAAACTGCGTGGAGCTGTCAGGTCTGAATTAGTTTGTTCAGTTACAGCAGAACTTTGGTAGCGCTTTGCGTTGTTAGTTTTCTACAGGTCGCTGACGGACATTCGATGGTCAGTGCGGTAGTGTGATGGCCGCTGGCACAGACACGTTAATATCCGACTAGTGGCTGGGTACCGCTCGTGTCTCAGCACGCCAACCTGCTTCTGTGACCGCGCTCCCGTGCTCTGATCCTTCCATCTGCCACGTACCGCTCATGTCTCAGCACACTGACCAGTGTCTCAACTGCGGCGCTTCTGACCGCGCCCGCTCCGGCAGACGCAGCGGACCAGCTGCGTCGCCCGGTGTCGGCGACGGGGGCGCTCAGCTGTCTCTAACGGTACCCGCTCCTTTCGCTCCTGACCAGTGTCTCTACTCTCTAACCGCGCCCTCTCCTGTCGCCCCTGACCAGTGTCTCTAACCGCGCCCTCTCCTGTCGCCCCTGACCAGTGTCTTTGAGTCTAACCGCGCCCGCTGCTGTCGCCCCTGACCAGTGTCTAACCGCGCCCGCTGCTGTCGCTCCGGCAGACGCGGCGGACCAGCACCCGGTGTCTGCGATGGTGGCGCTCATGAAGCTGTCGTTTGACGACCAGCAGCGCGCCGTGCTGTCGCGCCTGGGCGGCCTGCACGGCCTGGCCGAGCTGCTGACTGCTGAGCACGAGGCGCACGGCGCGCACACGGACTCGCCCGGCTGCTGCAGCACGCGACGGTAAACAGCGGCCGGAGGGGTAGCAGAATCGGCGGCAGCTGAGACTTGAGAGAGTGGAGCGGACAAAGTCAGAGATTGCGGCGTGCATTCTGAGATGTCGGAGGCGTTTGCCTTTATCATTGTTTCACTTCTACACAGTGTTCCATTTTTGGGAATTTTGGGTGGAAAATCACACCTAATGGGCAAAATATTTTCATCCCCAAAACCAGGTAAATTGGAATTCTTTCATCTTTGAAAAACGCTCAACGCATGCTCAACAATGAACAGCCAGATTACCACATACACCTAGCAGCGCCACGATTGAACTTACAGGTTTGCTACATAATGCATAATTTCCATGAAAAAAGATGCTAAATCAAGGCACAAACCCAACAACTCACCCTGACTGACAACGAAAGAAAATAACCTTGCACACTTCCAGCTGTTAATAACAAATATGCGTTGAATGACCTTGATCACCTCAACTGTTTGTAAAAACCAGGCTTGTGTTCTGAATAAATGCTTTTGGATATTCATAACAACTATTATTGGTGGTTTGCTGCCAACGCAAAACGGATGAGCCGCTGCTTGCGCAAATTAAACACTACCTCTGCAATTCGCTTTTGACTAAGTTACGCAGGATACGCCTACAAAATTTTCCTCTTTGGACCCGCAGTCAGCTGGGCACACCCTGCGCACACCCTAGGGATGAATTTAAAACTTGGTGGGCTATAACTTGTTTCATATACAAAATAGGGTTATAAGACCGATACCAATTTATTCTACATTCATTTCTGATCCTATTGTATCAATTTCACCACAAATTATGTCCGTCAATGGTTTCTAGAGGACTTTAAAGCTCGATGCGTCGGGCCTGGCAGAGGTCCAAGATGAGAAAAGCCACCCTGCGCACACCCTAGGGATGAATTTAACCCGCGCACCGACGGGGGGGGGGGGCGGATATCCGCCCCCCCCCCTGAGGTTTTTCGCGAATAGCGGGAAAACCGCGGCGCGTAGCGCCGCGAAATTTGGTATGACTATAACCTCATCAATTTTACACATGGTGTGCAAGTTTGAACCTCCTAGCTTTTAAGGTCAGGTCACCAGGTCACTTTGAATGACCCAACCTCAAGTCACTTTTTTGCAACTTTGTCACCGTGCCAGAGCTACAGTAGATGTCGGAGGCCTTTGAAAGTCGCAGGATATTATTAGGTCATTAGTAGCTACAATTTGTATATCTCGGAATTTTGATATCGGTGACCTAAGGTCAGGTCAATTTCGCGACCTCCCCATTATAAGTCAATGGGGGAAAAATCAACTCCCTGTTTTTACCACTAAAACGGGTCGGAATGGCCCCATATACCATACATGACTTCATATACGATCAACCTTCACTACCTTGAGGTCTGTTTTGCTGTTGGGCAGCTGTGAGGTCATGTGACGTCATCAAAGGTCACCAAAGGTTTTTGGCCAATAACTCCGTACAGGAACAAGATACAGACGCGTGGATGGTCTCATTGTGTTCAGCTCGTCAAGACGCATCGAATGATATACATGATGACCTCGAGGTCACGTGACCTGAGGTCAACCTTTGACCTTGACCTTTCGAGGTCAACATATATATCATTCGATGCGGATTGACGAGAGGATCACGATGATGCCCTTAGTTTGTTCCTATCTTGACTAATTCGAAAGTTATTCGAGAAAAACTCTCTCCATATCTAGCGCCGCCATTTTGACTTTTTCGACCCCTGTGACGTCATCTTTGACCTGACCTGAAAATGACCTTAGTAAAAATTGTAGATCTTGGCCGTGCGTATCCGATGCCGTCTACCGCTTGTCGCTATCTTGCTTCGTTCTCGAGATCTCAGGGGGGGGGGGCGGTCATCCGCCCCCCCCCCCCGTCGGTACTAAGTTGGCGCAGACCCCCGTCGGTGCGCGGGTTAAAACTCCGCGGGCTCTGGCTGGTTTCATAGGTAAAATAATGTTTTGAGACCGATCCCAATTTATTATGCGTTTATTTCTGATCCTATCGCATCAATTTCGCCACAAATTATGTCCGTCAATGGCTTCTAGAGGACTTTAAAGCTCGAGGCGTCGCGCCTGGTAGAGGTCCAAGATGAGAAAAGCCACCCTGGGCACACCCTAGGGATGAATCTAAAACTCCGCGGGCTCTGGCTGGTTTCATAGGCAAAATAATGTTTTGAGACCGATACTTATTTATTCTGCGTTCTTTTCTGATCATATTATATCAATTTCACCACAAATTATTAACGTTATTAGTTTTTAGATGTCTTTGAAACTCGAGGCGTCGGGTCGGGCAGGGGTTCAAGATGACTGACATGCCACCCTGGCACACCCTAGGGATGAATATGAAACTCTGTGGACTCTGTCAGGTTTCATACGCGAAATGAGGTTATAAGACCGGTAATGATGTATTTTACGTTAATTTCTCATGCTTTTGCAATAATCTTACCGCCAATTATTCATTTCAATTAGTTTCTAGAGGTTTTTAAACACGAAGCGTTCGGCCGAGGGAAAGCCAAGACGAGTGAAAGGATACCTTGGCACACCTCTAGGGATAAATTTAAGATACGGTATCCCCAGATCTGCCCAATACATGTTCTGAAGCTGGTAGATGGGATTAAGAAGGCCCTAGCTTTTTAATAAATTATCCCTCGCCCGTATGGGGGGGGGATCGAACGAACCACCCCCTCGTTTTTTCGAGAATAACTCGCGTAAAAAGCGGCCGATCGGGACGACACTTTCAGGACCCTCGAGTCAATTAATTGGACACCTACTCTGAAAATCTCATATTCCTGACCCAAATGACCTTTGACCTGTGACCTATTTCTTGAGGCCATGTTTGGCCGGAATCGCGATTCGGCGTATGTCGGCTCGCATTATGTCCTGATGTCCTGATCAGCGATGCCCTCCGTTCCGTTGCAGTTGCTCTGATCACTGATCACTGATGCCCTCCGTTCTGTTGCGGGTGCTCTGATCACTGATCACTGATCAGTGACGCTCTCTCACTCAGCACTTACCACGTGACATGATAGGTAGCTACCGCTCAGTTTCGGTGGCCGGTCATGAGGTCGGTGGCATCCTTTTATCATTTTTTTTTGCATCCCGTTCCGTTCCGATACGGATGCCCTGGTTAGTTGCACGCTTTTTATTGCGATGTTGCGTATTATGCTGCGCAGTGCACATCGTTCCGTTTAGGGTGCCCTAATCAGTGACCCTTTTTCTAGTCTCATGTAGTGCACCGTTCCTTTCGAAGAGTTGCGCTGACACCGTTTCCATTTTCACTATGCGTAATGAGTACCGACTATCGCTGGCCGTTCCGGCGTTCGGGCCGGGAGATTTCCGGCGTATGTCATGCTGCATAGTGCGACTGCAATTGCATACTCAATGCTGCGTCCCGTTCCGTGTGCTCAGAGCAAAGGCACCATTTCCAGTATCATCCCGGCCATTGTCATATCTGTTGAAAATGGAAAGCTCAAAGCTATACTGTGTACACTGTACGAATATTACCAGGTCAGATGCGAACGGAAACTACAAACTTATATTGCCGCATATTATCTCAAATATACAGTAATCTTGGAAGCAGTGCTGCCATATTGTAGGCGCAAAACGTCCCAGAGGCCAGAACACATGAGTTACAGATTTCAACAGAATCATTGCATCTTCTGCTTCTTAATTAAGGACCTAGTTCGCTCGCATGATGGCGACTGGCGTCGCGAGGATGGAGGTCCGCGGATGATCTTCTTTAGGAGAAATATACAGGCAGAAGGACCGTCCTGGATCCGTGCCAGTAAGCATGAGTAGGAACGTAGCAGATGCTGACGGTAATATCTGCTGTCTGCATCTGAAACGGAAAGGAAGGCATTGATTTAAGGCTAGGAGAAGGATGGCCACTGGACAGTCATTCAATTGTGACAATGCATTTTGACTTGTGAGGAAAATGAAATATCACTGGTTGAAGTAGGTATTCATTCTTTGCTGTATAAGAGACAAGGGTGATTCTGAAATTCATTAGTCTCAATCAAACACAAATGTTGGGATAAAATGGGACGGATTTAGAAACACTTGGCGATCAGATGTTAAAGTTATAATTCTGTCGTAGATCATCCTTACCTATTTGCATCGTCTTTTTCGGTTAGTTTTGGTGGTCAGGAATGGTATGTTCTTTTATTATCAGCCAGCGTAGCGTTACGCCTTTATTGCGAAAGTGATATAGGTTTTCACTTGTTTTTTTTTTCTCATCCTAGATTTTTTGGTCATCATCGTCACACCCAACCAAAATCCAATTTTAGAACACTGCTTCACTTCTATAATATTTCTATATCATGTGTGGTGTGCAGTACAAAATTTTAAGGGCGGGTTCAGATTGTTGATATTTTGAAAATGTTGCCATTTTGTAGCAACGCTGTGGATCAATAAGCTTACCATCCGCTGCTTAGTGTAGCTCGTCGCCCTCTAATCAAGGCATGGCTGCCCCCCCCCTCCCCGGAGGCTGAGGGTGACCGTGACCCCGTCCCGCCGGGTGTGTGCAGGTTCGCCGGCATGGCGCTGACCAACCTGACGTTCGGGGACGGCACCAACAAGGCGCTGCTCTGCGGTCTGCGGCCGTTCCTGCGCGCCTTGGTGGCGCAGCTGCTCTCGCCCAGCGACGACCTTGTCCAGGTGCGCGGCGGGCAAAGGCGGGGTCATATTATCACAGGGAGGGATGGGGTGCAACAGGAAGCCCGCGTGGGTAGTGCCTGGCCTGGTATGTAAGTACATACGTGTGGAAGGGGCTACATGACAGGTAGAGGATACGCTTGATTGGCTTTTATTTCGGAACGTTGACATTGTGGGAGGCTTTCAGGAAACAAACAATTTATTGATTTTTTTGCCATATAACACGATATCTGTAGACTGCAATTGGTTTAACTGATTCAGTTCACAGCTGCAAGCTAAAGCTTACATTTCCAACAATTTCCGTCAACTTTTGTTAAGGTTCCACTTCACCACTATCGGGACTCGAACGGGCGCCGGCTGTTTCAGGTTACTGCCAGCGTGATGCGCAACCTGTCGTGGCGCGCCGACCCGGCCAGCAAGCAGGCGCTGCGCGAGGCCGGCGCGGTGCCGGCGCTGACTCGCGCCGCGCTGCGCACCGCCCGAGAGCCGTCGCTCAAGTCGATCCTGTCGGCGCTCTGGAACCTCTCGGCCCACTGCGGGCTCAACAAGGTAGGGCCGGCCGGTTGGCCGGAGCGGCGCCGTACCCGCGCAGCGCTGGCAGCAAGGCGAATCGCTGTATGGGGTAGCCAATTAGGTAACTGGTGTCGAATCCTTGGTAGCGAAATCCTTGAAAGCAATGCACTGTTTATAAGAAGAGTGATAAGCCGTCTACATTGAAACCGATTTTGCGATAAAGCGCACTTTATCGGATCACGGATGTGAACTGTCAAACACCATGCTTGTCTGTTACCCTCGCTTTTAGTAAGCCCGATTCCATCGTGTAATATGGGAGGTGTGAACGGCTGCTCTGACCCGACCGACCCTGTGTAACGCCGGGCCCTCTGGCCGGTCTGTGTACTGTGTACTTTGTAACGCCGGGCCCTCTGGCCGGTCTGTGTAGTGTGTAACGCCGGGCCCTTTGGCCGGTCTGTGTATTGTGTAGTGTGTAACGCCGGGCCCTCCGGTCGGTCTGTGTACTGTGTAGTGTGTAACGCCGCGCCCTCTGGCCGGTCTGTGTAACGCCGGGCCCTCTGGCCGGTCTGTGTACGGTGTAACGCCGGGCCCTTTGGCCGGTCTGTGTATTGTGTAGTGTGTAACGCCGGGCCCTCTGGTCGGTCTGTGTACTGTGTAACGCCGGGCCCTCCGGCCGGTCTGTGTACTGTGTAACGCCGGGCCCTTTGGCCGGTCTGTGTATTGTGTAGTGTGTAACGCCGGGCCCTCTGGTCGGTCTGTGTACTGTGTAACGCCGGGCCCTCCGGCCGGTCTGTGTACTGTGTACTGTGTAGTGTAACTCCGGGCCCTCTGGCCGGGCTGTGTACTGTGTACTTTGTAACGCCGGGCCCTCTGGCCGGTCTGTGTAGTGTGTAACGCCGGGCCCTTTGGCCGGTCTGTGTATTGTGTAGTGTGTAACGCCGGGCCCTCCGGTCGGTCTGTGTATTGTGTAGTGTGTAACGCCGGGCCCTCCGGTCGGTCTGTGTACTGTGTAGTGTGTAACGCCGCGCCCTCTGGCCGGTCTGTGTAACGCCGGGCCCTCTGGCCGGTCTGTGTACTGTGTAACGCCGGTCCCTCTGGCCGGTCTGTGTACGGTGTAACGCCGGGCCCTCCGGCCGGTCTGTGTACTGTGTACTGTGTAGTGTAACTCCGGGCCCTCTGGCCGGGCTGTGTAACGCCGGATCCTCTGGCCGGTCTGTGTACTGTGTACTGTGTAACGCCGGGCCCCCTGACCAGTCTGTGTACTGTGTAACGCCGGGCCCTCTGGCCGGTCTGTGTATAATGTAGTGAATTCCGGGCCCTCTGGCCGGTCTGTATACTGTGTAGTGTAACGCCGGGCCCTCTGGCCGGTCTGTGTACTGTGTAACGCCGGGCCCTCTGGCCGGTCTGTGTACTGTGTAACGCCGGGCCCTCTGGCCGGTCTGTGTACTGTGTAACGCCGGGCCCTCTGGCCGGTCTGTGCTGTACATATATTGTGTAACGCCGGGCCCTCTGGCCGGTCTGTGTACTGTGTATTGTGTAACGCCGGGCCCTCTGGCCGGTCTGTGTACTGTGTAGTGTAACTCCGGGCCCTCTGGCGGGTCTGTGTAGTGTGTACTGTGTATGTTTAACGCCGGGCCCTCTGGCTGGTCTGTGTACTTTGTACTGTGTAGTGTGTAATTCCGGGCCCTCTGGCCGGTCTGTGTACTATGTAGTGTAACGCCGGGTCCTCTGGCCGGTCTATGTATTGTGTAGCGTGTAACGCCGGGCCCTCTGGCCGGTCTGTGGGCCCGCAGGCGGCCATCTGCGCCGAGGAGGGGGCGCTGCCGTTCCTGGTGAAGACGCTGACGTACGACTCGCCGACCAAGTCGCCGGCCGTGTCGGAGAACGGCGGCGGCATCCTGCGGAACGTCTCCAGCCACGTCGCCGTCTGCGAGGAGTACCGGTCAGTCAGGGGGAGGTGTCTGGCACAGGGGAGGAGTACCGGTCAGTGGGGGAGGTGTCGGGCTGAGGAGAGGTCGAATACCGGTCAGTGGGGGAGGTGTCGGACACAGGGGACGGGGAGGGGGAGGAGTACCGGTCAGTGGGGGAGGTGTCGGGCAGAGGGGAGGGGAGAGGAGTACCGGTCAGTGGGGACTGGGGGAGGTGTCGGGGAGAGGGGAGGTCGAGTACCGGTCAGTGGGGGAGGTGTCGGGCAGAGGTAGAGGGGAGGGGAGGAGTACCCGTCAGTGGGGTCAGCTGGGGGGGGGGGGGGGGGTGCCGGGCACTGGGCAGAGTGTTCGCTCTCCTCTGGTGAAATGAACCGGTCAGCTGCAGATGGACCGTTCAAAAGAGGACCTTTCAGTAAGTTACGAATGGATTTTTACGAGCGAGCGAGCGCAGCGAGCGAAGCGAAGTCTTTTCAATATAACGGGAAAATCTCAGTATGAGCGGCCCGGCCAATCTTGGCCCGGCCCGGCCCGGCCCGGCCCGGCCTGTAGCGCTTTTGAGAGGCTTATATCTCAGCAACCGCTGGACCGATTTGCCTGCGGTCTTTTTTGCTGGGTAGCCCCATCCCTTCTACCCCGTAATTGCCTACTTTTGGCACATCTCAGTGACCGTCGTGGCACGTGCCACGTGAAAGTCAAGGGTGTTCAAGCTGTTTTGCAGAAGTAGTGATTTTGAGAGGCTCATATCTCAGCAGCCGCTTGGGCGATTGCCTTGCGGTAATTTTTGTAGGGTAGCTGCATCCCTTCTACCAAAGGTCGGATACTCTTGATCTATGTGAGTGACCCCCGCTGCACGTGCAAAATGCAAAAAGAAGAGGTGCCAAATTTGTTCCCATTTTAATAACTCGGTAATTACTTGGTCGATTTCGCTGAAACTTGGCATAGAGGTAGGCAGTTACTATGTATTTCAGACCCCATGAGACCCTGTTTTTTGGCGATTATTTATTTAATATTTGTCCAATTTGCTTCAAATTTTCACAATGCACATTTCAGCTCAAGCGCCAATTTTCGCTAATATGGTCTCTTAACAAAATATCAATTGTTAGGGTACTTGTCGTTGCCTCGCAATGCTAAAATCATCTCCGTAAATCCGTCAGTGGAGTAGAGGCTATCCATACGTAGGCGTGACGTCACAGGCACGTGACCATTAAGCTCCGCCCTCCCGGCGGACGGAGCGGTGACCTTGGCCGGTCAGTCGGATGCGTGGAGCCGACGGGGCAGTAGCTGCCGGACCCAAGGCCGTATGCCGGACCGGGGCGGCTCGCATTGGACATGGCTGCCTTGCGGTTGCCGTTGCAGTAATAACGATACAGCAGAAACTAGCGCTCGTAATTAGCGCACTAGCCTTCGTTATTGAATTTATCGCAAATTAACCTACACCATGTCAATCAATAAAGATATACCTACTTTAATGCTAAGTTCAGGGCTAGTGACTGCATTTTTCTTGATTGAACGTCATTAAAAAAAAAAAATCATGGATGTCAATTGACTGTGAACTGATGCAAGACGTCGGTCAGCCTACGTCAAATTTGCAAGACATGGTAAACAGTTACACCGTAGCATTTAAGAAGTGTGGTTGCAATATGAAATATATTATGCTTATGCGTATGCTTGAGATGGATTCATGTGATTACGGTGCAACATGAACACCTTCACAGCTAACCCATTTTATAATTGACTAGATTGAGATCACCGGACTGACTTGACCCCAGGCTTTCGTGTTGAACTGCAAATAATCAAAACACCTGTAAGTAAGTAACCTACTGCCTCACTATTGGAGAGCTTGAAAAATTACTTTAGTTTCACAAAAAGACGCGATTTCTTTACTAGCCTATGCGCCTGTTTCCCTTATTTTGATGTCACATTACATTTCTACCATGCGCAGTAAATCGCACATCACAATTCTGCTTCCCGAATTACGAACACAGCTCGTGGAGCGATGTCTTAGGCAATCGGAAGTGCTCGCGACTCATCATCCTACTCTGTTGTTTTCTGCATAGATATAACAGCGTCTTCAGAAACAGCGATTGACGCAGCCAATCATATCGATATTTTCGAATGGTGCAGAGACTTCTCATGATGTCATAGGTGACAGAATAGTGGCACGACCTGACCATGAGATAGGCGCCAGAATGTGCATTCATCCAGATATTCAGATAGTGCATGACTCAGCTGAGTCAGCTCTCTATTTAAAGTTGGTTCTGGGGAGGTTAATATCCTCATTATGAGTATTCTTCATATTCTGAGCTGGATCGGTGTTGATATACTAAGAAGGGAGAAGCGGTTACCAACTCCCCCAAATGAAGAGCAAGCTTTCGCTCAGACACTTCCTGTCGATTCCATGAATGTTTCCAGTGCGCGGCCCCCGTGCGACCTCTCCGCGGTGCTGCCGCCGACTGAGCCGGCATAGACCCAGCGCGGTCACGGCCAGTGGGCGGAGTTTAGTTGGGTCCGGCGCAACGTGATTGGCCAGCGCTCCCATCCAATCCGCTGCGGTAGCGAACGAGCCTCTATCCGGGTGCAAAATATTATTAGCATTACGAGCCTATGACAAGTGCTCTAAATATTGATATTTTGTTGAGAGACCATATTGATGGAAATTGGCGCTTGAGCTGAAATGTCTAATGTCAAAATTTCAAGCCAATTAGACAAAAACCGAAGAAATTATCGCCGAAAAACAGGGTCTCATGGGTCTGAAATGCATAGTAGGCACCCACCAGGCAATGCATTCCCATGTGTTGCGGTTAGGGTGCTTCTGCACGTGCGCACGTGCAGGGGGCGTTTCCAGATCTCGAGAACGGCTGGGCCGATTGCGCTCAAATTTGGTACACGGTTGGGGACCGGTAAATAGGGTGCCGTGCAAAAGTCAGTTTGGACCCCGTTTGCACGTGCGCACGTGCAGAATGCCGCTTCCAGATCGCAGGAACGGCTGGGCCGATTGCGTTCAAATTTGGCACACCGCTAGTGACCGGTTAGAAGGGTGCTTTGCACAAGCCCCGTTGGAAGTACCCTCTCGCCCTTCCGCACGTGCAGGGCTCACTATCTCGCTCGCTCGTTCTTCGCCCAAAAGGCGTTTTACTGGTATTATTCATGACCAGCTTTGTGATTTTGTTTGGTTTGTTGCTAAGACAGGCTTCCTTCCATCAGCAGTGGTACATGGGAGGGCGATGTGAGTTTTGAACGGTCCGAGTGTCCGACACCATTATCGGAAGCCCGGCGTTGCGCTCGCCGCCACCTCTGGTATCGATGTCGGGCCGTTCAAAACTCTATATCATGCTCCAAAGTCGCGTCATAATTTGCACTTTTATTGTCATGATACTAGTTACGATTCGCAGCACAATTCCTAGTTTGCGTGAGACTCGGATTGTGACTTAATATGTGCAAGATGCAGAGGTGTCATAGAGACATAGACATTCAGCAATGGGTGAAGACTTCCACTGGTGTCCAACTGGCGTCTAACTGAGCAGACGTCCAAGTGGGCGTCCAACTTAGCGCGGACGGAGACTTTCAAGCTAGACGCGCCCAAAGTTAGCGGTCGGCAGCCAGACGCAGTCGCCGTCCAGCTAGACGCGTCTAAGAGTTAGACGTGTATAGCTAGACGCGAAATGGAAGTATCCACCCAATATATTCGTGACATATCGTACACTACTATGCATTTCAGACCCTCTGGAACAGTCCTTTTTGGCTCTTTCTCGTCACTTATACGCTTGATTTCAACCAAACTTTGACACAATGAGTTGCAAGGCCCTACCTAATTTTTACTAATATGGTCTTTTAACAAAATGTCAAAATGAAAGGCATTTGTCATTGACTTGTAATGGTAAAGATTGATCGGAAAACTCTGCGCCTTGGTAGAGGCTAGCATGGCGTAGCAGCGTCAGCTGTTGCGCTGCAGCTAAGCTCCGCCCACTGCGCCGCGACACCGAGACCGGTCATTCGCCGCCCGGGGTCAGAGCAGTGCGGAGCTCTGACTGATTGGAACAAGACACACGCTAACGCAGGTATCCTTGCGTGAATTTATGTCGTATCTCGCGCGGAGAGAATAAGGATGAAGAATGCAATGCATATCGGTGTGTGTATAAAGCGATAAGCACTGCTTCCAGCGACAAATAAGATCCAGAATGTTATTCCCTATAAAATTAAAAGAATCTTATATAATTTATTGGGAGCTTCTCCGCTGCCCTGTTTTCCTACAGGCTATGGCGCAGTTAAGGAGTAACGAGACAGAATCTACCGGATTTTCTTTAGGTACGCATCACGCATGTGACATTCAGCGGCCTTATTTAATTGAGGATATCCACATACCTATGCATGTACCGGCGTTTAGTTTTTTTTATTTGAAAGATTTTTTTTGGGGGGAGGTAAAAATAGTCGATCTTTCCATAATATTTCCACAATGCTTTAAGGATATTGCTGATAGATCTTAGGGCCGAAAAACAATAGAACAGGGAAAGATAGGATGATTCAATCTGAAAATGCAGATGTGCAATATCGAGAGTTAATGACCTCCCATCCTTCACTCCCCCTGTCAGTCTCTCGTCTCTAATCTCTATCTCCGTCACTTGTCTCTGGTCTACCATCATTGTCTGTCTTTCGTCTAGTCTTTGTCTCCGTCTCTGCTCTAGCGTTAATGCATATGTATTGTTTGCTGTCCACAGACCACTAGCCACCGTCTACCGCTCGTCTCATTTTCACTTTGTCTCCTCTTCCTTTTTCTTACTTGCTCCGTCCTTATTTGTTGTAGTAAAAGTTCATGACATGCAAACAAGTGCTCCACTCCGCTGCGCTGCGCGTGCGGCCGGCACGCCGGCCGGCCAGACGGCGACTGCCGCCGACATGACCCGAGGCTGGACCGCAAGTGGGCGGAGCCAAGCCGCAGTGCGCTAGCACGCCACGACCAATCAGAGGGGAGACAGCGCCCAGCCTGTGGCAGCCTCTAAGCAGGGCTCTGACGACCTTAACATTATCTGTCAATGACAAGTGCCTTTATTTTTCATTTTTTGTTATTAGACCATATTGATAAAAATTAGGTAGGGATCTCAAACTACTATTACCAAAGTTTGGTTAAAATCAAACGCATATACAACGAGAAATAGCCTAAAAGGACTGTTCCACAGGGTCTGAAATGCATAATAATTGGATGCGCTCTCCTGATCCGTTGTCGAAGACCAGGTTACCTCACCTGTACACCTGTATTTAGACTCCCGACTGTGTGTTCTGTTCGCAGTCGGGTTCTGCGGCAGCACAACTGTCTGCAGATCCTGCTGGACCAGCTCAAGTCGCCCAGTCTGACCATTGTCAGTAACGCATGCGGCACGCTGTGGAACCTGTCGGCGCGCTGCGCCCATGACCAGCGCACCCTCTGGGAGCTGGGCGCCGTCAGTCAGCTGCGCGCGCTCGTGCACAGCAAACACCAGATGATAGCCAGCGCCAGTGGCGCCGCCCTGCAGAACCTGCTCTCGGCGCGCCCGGAGGCGGCCGCCGAGCCCTCCAGCGCGCCGGCCACGCCCGCGCGCCGGCCGCGCGCCGCCGCCGGCTCGGCGCCGCCGGCCGAGCCGCCGGAGCCGCCGGCGGGCGCCGAGCTGTCGGCGGCGCGTCTGCACGGCGCGGCGCCGCTCTCCAGCAGCCGCGACTCGGTGCGCAGCGCGCTCTCCGACCAGAGCTTCGACCGGCGCCGCTGGGCAGAGCCGCCGCCGCCGCCGCCGCCAGTCGGGCCGGCCGCCGGCGGGGCGCCCGAGCGCGCCCGGCTGGCCGGCGTGGTGCGCGAGGTGGCCCACCGGATGGGTGTGACGGAGACGGAGCTGCGGCGGCTGCTGCTGCAGCCCGACCTGGCCGGCGGCGGACCGGCGCCGGCGGCCGACACCGGCTGGCGGCCGCGCCGTGACCGCGCCGGCTCCCTGCCGCGCGAGCTGTCCGTGCCGCGGCCGGCGTCCGCGCAGGAGCACGACACCTCTTTCCACGAGGAGGAGAGCGACCACCCGACCGACTTCAGCGCGCTGTATGCCGAGGGGCGCGAGGAGGACACGGTGGTGTTCAAGAAGCCGCCGCCGCCGCCGCCGCCGCCACCGATGGGCCGCCCGTCGGCCAGCTGCCAGCTCGACGAGGACACCGTGCACACGTACGCCACCGAGGGCACGCCCTACCAGGCGGGCACCCCGTACAACTTCAGTACGGCCACCTCTCTGCTGGACCTGCGCGAGCCGCCGTCGGCTGGGCCGCCGCCGCCGCCGCCGCCGCCCGCGGGAGAGACGCGCGGCGGCGGCCGGCGGGGCCCGGGCCCGCCCGGCTCCTCGGCGCCGGCCTCTGCGCTCGAGACGCCGCTCATCTTCTCGCGGTCGAGCTCTGTTGGCTCTCTGAGCAGCTTCGAGGGCGCGGCGGCCACCGGCGAGCAGGGCTCGGTGATCAGCGAGTACAGCCGCCAGGTGAGCGGCGCCGTCTCCCCCAGCGACCTGCCCGACTCGCCCAGCCAGATGCCCGGCACGCCGCAGCCGGTGCGCAAACAGGCCAGCGCCGAGCCGCCGCCGCGCGCCGCCAAGCCGGCCGCCGCGCCGCCGCAGAAGGCCGTCACCACCGGTGTTTTCGAGGAGGCACCGCGTCACTTCCAGCAGGAGGGCACGCCGCTAGGCTTCTCGCGCGCCACCAGCCTCAGTTCGCTGACGATTGACGAGCCGCCGCTGGCGCTGCCGCTGCCCGGTCCGCCGCCGCCGGACAGCGACGGGCCGCAGCAGCAGCCGGCGGCGGCAGTCAACGGCGGCGACGGCTCCGACGGCGGCGGGCAGCGCCACTCGGCCGACAGCGGCTCCAGCGACGACGGCGACGACGACATGATCTACGCGTGCATCAAGTCGGCCATGCCCACGCGCAAGTCGCACAGCGTGCGGTCGTCGCGCGAGTCGGGCGGCGGTCCTGCGTTGCCGCCGCGCGGCGCCGCCTCCGAGCCGGGCCGCCGGGCCGGCTCCGGGCGGCACCAGCACCCCCCGCCGCACGCGGCGCGCCGGCCGGCCGCCGCCGCCGCGCCGGCCAAGAGCGGCTCCCGGTCTCCGGGCGGCGGCCGGCTGAACGGCTACCCGCGGCTGTCCCCGCGCAGCTGCGGCGCCGGCGCCGACTCGGCCGCCGACAGCCGCCGCCACCGGCCGCCGCCGCCGCTCATCGAGCGCAACGAGTCCGACTCGGGCTCGTGCGGGGACGACATCCTAGAGCAGATGATCCAGCAGACCATGAACCGAAAGGTGGGCGACCGTCGGCGCGGCTGTCGGGGCAGTGCTCGGTCGTAGTGGGAGCGGGTATAAGGCTGATCGCTTCAGGGTGCTACCTTCCAGCTGGCTTTACTCCTCAAGGTATAATGCAAGTTGTATCAAGCTTGAATATTTACATTGGTTTTACTCGCGTATTTTATTATGAATTTTCATGTCTTTCTTTAAATGTGCCAAGGCTGAGCACCTTAACCCTAGAACGCCTAGGGGGGGGGGGTTGTATCAACCCCCCCCTGAGGTTTTTTCGAAGTGCACGCTAAACGGCTTGTCGTAGCGGGCTGAAATTTTCAATACCCTCTGGGGCAACCTTTGCGCATCTTTTGCCGAAAAAAATTGATCGGGTCATGTCAGGTCACGGAGTTATGACGTCATAAGAGGTACAGCCTCCGGCCGGATTTTCACAAACTGAGTGCCAACGCCCGAGGTTTCCTGCCGGTGGTACGGACATCGGTTGATGGATCGTGATGAAACTTCCCATGCATGTTGGGGCAAGTATTGGCTATCATATGGTATAAGAAATTTGACCGGGTCAGGTCAGGTCACGGAGCTATGACGTCACAAGAGGAACAGCGTCCGGTACTATTTTTGAAAAGCGCCCGAACCACTATTTTGCTAATTCTTGTCACCTCAATGGGAATATGCAGCAATATTAGCTTCTATAGGGAGCAAATGGACCTCCCAAATCCAAAAATACAATCAGATTTCAAAAATTTAAATTTTGATTTTTCGAATTTCTGCCGCCGACTGTGACCTTGCCGACTTCCGGCGCTCCCAACGCGCCATTTTTAGAGCTAGGGAAACGAAATACATACCAAACGATAGAGAATGGATCAAGGAACACGATAGTGAAGGTTTCTAGTCGATATCTCCCACCGTTTTGCCGCAATCGCCGCCGAAAGTTGAAAAAAGTCTATTTTTCCGAAAATTTGACCTTTGACCGGTCAAAAGTAGGTCAATGCTGACCTAGGACCAAAAAATATACCACCAATCGCGAGATCTCGTTGAGAGCAATCCGTTGGTTTTTTCCGCTAAGCTCTACGACCTTCCGTTTCGAAACGCCAGGGGGGGGTCGTAACAACCCCCCCCCCCCTGGTCGTTCGTGTTATGAGAAATGGCCTGGTCGTGCGAGGGTTAATCATTATTCCCGTGCCGCTGTGTGACCGGCCGCCCCCGCACGCAGGATGACCGATCGGGGCTCGGCGACTCGCCCTCCCGCCGGGCGGCCGGCGCTTCCTCGGCGCACCACGGCCAGAGCTGGAGCGTCAAGCAGTACCACCGGTAAGTAGCTGTATTCAGCGTGACAGTCCACTGACCGGTCTGCTCCCGAGGGATCGCAGGGACCGACTGAGCTCACCATTGACCGCGCATTGTTCTGTATGCAGAATACATATTGGTACCATTTTCGATGTGCGTACCCGGGGAGTACCTCTGGCAGTGTCTGTTACCATCTGTAGTGCAGCAAGCGCTTTTATATTGTTATGTTCGATGCTTTGCAATTGTGTGTTAAATATGTCCTGACGTTATTCCTACACCCCTGTTCTGACCTGCCGTTCGCTCCCCGTCTGACCAGGTACACGGAGCGCCAGGCGAGCGGCGCCGCCCGGCTGGCGCGCGCCGGTCTGCCGCTGCCGCCGCCGCCGCCGGCCGCCGAGCGGCCCCGCCAGTACGCCGTCGAGGGCACGCCCGTCAACTTCTCGCGCGCGGAGAGCCTCTCCGACCTGGAGCTGGAGGAGGCGGAGCCGGCCGAGCGGGCCGCGCCGCCGCCGCCGCCGCCGCCGGCGCCGGCCGGGGACACGCCGACCGTGTACGCCACCGAGGGCACGCCGGGCGTGTTCTCGCGGGCCGACAGCCTCAGTGACATCTGCGCGGCGGTGGAGCGGCCCGCCGGACCGGACGGCCGGCCGTCTGCGGCCACTAACGGTCAGTGGCCGGCGGCACTGCTGCCGGAGGGAGCAGGTGGTGGGCTGGGTTAGTCTGTGAGACATGTGAGTGAGGATTGGTAGCTCATGCATGCGGAAGTCAGTATTGGTTGGAAGGATTCAGCCATGATGGCATCATTTCTAAGTTCGGACTGTGGTGTTACAACTGAGTAGGTTTCCCGTCCGACGTTTTCGACATCATATGCATTATGAATTATGATCCATGTCTGACTCTGAAGTCACGTCACATGCTGACCGTGCCCTCACGCTATGTCTTCTGTACTCTCATCCTGTCGGTATTTCGCGCCTGGCTTGTCTGACAATGTCCCGACCTCTGGTCTGGTCTGCAGGTGTGGACGGCCACGACTGGCGGCAGCCGCCCGCGGCTGGCGGCGGCGGCGGGCGGTCCGTCGGCTCGCCGCCGGGCGCCGCCGGCGGCACGTCCGCCCTCTCCCGTCCGAGCTCGCTGAGCTCGCTCAGCCTGCACTCGAGCGGCGGCGACACGGACAGCGAGACGGACGACATGCTGCTGGAGCGCTGCATCAGCTCGGCCATGCCCAAGACGAGCCGCTCCGACTCTGCGCAGCGGCGCCGCCAGCGCCGGCGGGCGCACAGGAGGAGACGCGGCGCCGGCAGCGGCGACGGCGAGCAGTGGCCGCAGCACCAGCAGCTCGACCAGCAGCCCCAGCAGCAGCAGCAGCAGTCGCGGCGGCGGCCGTGGCCGGCGGACGGCTGGTCCCATCTCCCGGAGGGTGGCCACTCGGAGCCGGCGCGGCCGCTGGCCGGCTCGCGGTGGTCGGAGCCGGGCCGCGCGCCCGCTCACCACCGCCGGCCGCCGCCGGACGCCGGGCGCGCCCCGCCGGCTGCCATCTGGGTGGACGGGTACCCGCCGCCGGCGGAGGGCGGCCGCGCCTCGCGCCGACAGCCCGGCCCGACACCTAACGGCCACCGCGGGCCGGGGGAGCCGGGCGGAGCGGACCACCCGACCGGTGCTCCTCAGCAGCAGCAGCCTCAGCCTCAGCCGCCGCGCCGGCCGACGGAGGCCGGGGAGGGACCGGCACCGCGCCGGGACTTGGCCGGCGCTGGAGACGGTGCCAGCGGTGCGGAGGGCGTCCGCCCGGCGGCGGCGCCGGCTCTGAGCGGCGGCCCGGCGGCGGACGCGGTCGGCGGCGCCGGCCGGCCCGTCCGGTCCCCCGAGCCGGTCCGCGGCGCACCCAAGCCGTGCGTGCCGCCCAAGCCGAGTCTGGCGGCGCGGCGCGGCGCTCCGGCCAGCCCGCTGCTGCCGCCCGCGGTGGCGCCCAAGCCGCGGGTGGTCAGCGACCGGGCCGCCGCCGGCGCGACGGGGAGGACGCCGGAGCCGCCACCGACCAACGGAGACCAGAGCGACACATCGGCGGGCGACGGCGCGCCCAAGCGCAAATCGGTCATCATCACCTCCCTGTGAACCCGCGGCGGCGGCGGCGGCCGCTGTGTCGGGTACAGACGTGCATTACAGACGTGCCATAAGACGCTGTGAACGCTGTTTGTGAGGAGCGCGTAGCCGGCGGCGACAGACGGGCTGCTCCTCGACCGGGTTTCCTCGATGAGCCGGCTTTTTAAACATATGCTGAAAAGCAAGCTTTTATGCGCCCATGCCTGTGGCCCGTGCTTTTTGTGGCCATATGCTATTTTGGTGGCGTGCCATGTGATTTTATACTCATGCGCGTGCAATCGTTGCAGTCCGAAAATAACATACCCTCCCCTCGCTGTATTACCATGCGGAGTGTGACGTAGTGGTTGTGACGTGGCTGCGCTTGGCTCGTGAATCGTAACAATACACGTTTGAACAATTTATCTCGGTCATGGCTACCTCTCGGCATAGGCTGACACAGTCCGTGAGTGTTTATAGGGTCGGGGAGCAAGATAAACGGTCTTATGCTTATGTCAAAGCCATACATACCACTTAATAGTTTCTCCCGTCTCCCGAAACGTTTTTTTTTTTTTTTGCAATGGGTTTATGATTTTTCTAAGCTAATAAATGATCAGCAAAGAAAATAAAACCTTTTTATAAAAAAAAATATTCTAGGAACTGAACTCTTCAGTTTTAAAACAGGGAAATGACCCGTGCAAGGCATACATTACTCAGCAAGGCACTTTTTCGGGACGAGAAATGGAATATCTTTGCCTAGGATGATCGTTGGGCCGTAAAAGCTCCTGATTTGTGCTTGTCTCAGCTCAAGCTACGGAACTGCTATTCCGGTTCAAGACCCGAAAACTCCATGTGGCCATGTTCCCTGCTAAATACACTGTAGGCTTTGGCCGAGGGCTTTGAGTGACTGCGTGAAATGTGGCATTGGGCCCCACGGATTACATCGAAAAAGTTATCGCATTTCGGTGAATTTGCGCGCTGCTGATATCTGGTTCGCGACTGGAGATGCTGACTTTTCAGTTTTCAAAGTATATTAGTGCAAAGTGAGTAATAATTAGTATTGTTTTAAAAGAATAGGTTCATACTGAGGCAAAATGGCTGCTATTTAGCACACGTCGTTTTGAACTCCGTGGCGCTTTTTGCATTTCTGGCGCGGTTGGCGCTTGGGGCAAGGCCCTATATACCGCTTGGGGGGCCTGGGGCTTGAGTAGTTATTTGCCGTTTGTTTCCCAAAATTGTTGTTGACTGTGTTGACTGTTGACCCTCAAATTTTGAGATCAAGATTGGGCCCTTGAATTAAGAAAGATAATTCAGTAAGCAGTCTCTGGGTGCAGGGCGAGGAAAGCTTATTCAAACCTTTCAGTCCGAGGGGAACAGTCAATTTTAGATTTCTATTCTTGTCCAAATCTCTGGGTAAGAAGGTTGGTGCAGCATGCACTATTTTTAGTTGTGACTTTCTCTTCTTTCGTATGCTTGCTTGGAATAAACTTTTGTGACTTTCTCTTCTTTCGTATCAGTATGCTTGCTTTGAATACTTATTGGTCAGAGAGTGGCACATAACCATAAAGGTGGGCATCCACTGGTTAGGTGCTTTATGCGCGCAATCATCTGTCTTGTGCTTAGTGCGCACAAAATTGGAAGCATTTTAAGTTGTGAGGAGAAGAGAAGTTAACTAATCTTCAGTTATCAGTGTGTGATTCAGCGCCAAACAGGTGCCAAATAATCAGCTGACTGCAATTCATAATGCATTTGATGCTGAACAATGTTTGGGGCACCGCCCATAGACTCCAATGTTAAATTCAGTGTGTAATCAACCAGTGGATGGTGACCTTAACATATCCAAATCACATGCAGGTAATGATTTGAAGGCACATTTGATCTTGATGCTTGTAGTCTTTTTGAAGTTGTCTTTTCAAAAGTTTGCAACTGGGTTTTGTGTCCCTATGTTTTTGTTTATGCTTGACTCCATGTGTCGGCGGTTGCTGTGGTATTGAATGTGACTGTAGTGTGTGAGTCAGGCATTGCAGCATGCCCTGTGAGCCCGCGGCGGCGTCGGCGAACAATGGGGCCGGGTCGTCTTCTTCACTTGACCCCCGCCGCTGAGTGATGGCCACCGCCGCGACGGGCTGGTGTGGGGTGAGTGTGCCGGCCAGCCAGTCCTGCTCTGGCTGGCCGGCCGTGCGGTCCATATATACAGTCTACTCGTGGTTGTTCCCGTTTTACTTTCTACAAGCTATTTCGGCCTTACGCCAGAGTGAAGACGTCTTGACGACGACAGCTTCCGCGTCAGAGACGGTGCTGACGTCAGTGACAGGGCCGGTGATGTCAGTCACCTGGCCGGCAGCAGCGGCGGCTGCCAGTCACCTCAGCAGTAGCGGCGCCCCCAGCCAGTCGCCTGGCCGTCAGCGGCCGGCGGCCCCAGTCGTTTTGCCGCCATTACCCTTCGACGTCCGCCTAATCCCCGAGTATGACGGCAGCACCGACGTCGTGGAGTGGTTTGGCCGGACTGAGATGCTGTGTCGGCTGCGTGGTGTGCCGGTGGAGTCAGTGCTGCCGCTGCGGCTCTCGGGCGGTGCGTTCGCTGTTTGGTCACAGCTGCCCGCCCACAGCCAGTCCTCGCTGGTGGCCGTCCGCGGCGCACCGTATGCAGCCTTCGCCCTTGACCAGCACGCAGCGTACGAAGCCTTCTCAGCACGGCGGCTGAGGCCGGGGGAGTCAGCTGACGTGTTTCTGGCCGACCTGCGGCGGTTGGCGGCCCTGTTCGGCGGACTGCCAGAGCGCGCGCTGACCTGCGCGTTCGTCGCGGGGCTGCCGGACGACGTCCGCCAGACCATTCGCGCCGGCTCCAAGGCTGAAGGACTGGACCTGACTACCATCGTGGTTCGCGCTCGAGCCATTCTCAGCAGTGAGCGAGTCTCAGCGGCGGCAGTGCAGCAACGGGCCGTGGCACCGTCCCCCGACCAGCGTCCTGCCTCGCCGCGTAGTCGGCCTCGGCGCCCTCCGCGCCGCATGCGCTGCTGGGCTTGCGGGGAGCTCGGTCACATCGCGGCGAGGTGCCAGCAGCGATCGGGAAACGGAACCGGGGAGGACGGGTCAGCACCGCCGTCCTCTCCTGCGCAGCACTGAGCGGTGCGCTGCCCATCACGCGGCTGAGGGTGGAAGGCCGCGAGTGCAGCGTCCTGATTGACACCGGCAGCACAGAGAACATCATTTACGCTCCCCACTGTACGCAGTGGAGACCGCGGCAGGTGCGCGTGACCACCATCAGTGGGGGTCAGCTGGAGTGCTGCGGTGTTGGCGCCGTGGTCGTGGAGGCGCCGACGGGCCACCGCGGCACACTCGAGACGGTGGTGGTGGAGAAGCGGCCTCTGGGAGTGGATATGGTCCTCGGGATCGCAGGCGTCTCTGCACTGGGTGGCGTGACCGTGCTCTCCCCATCTGAGGTCCGCTTTTGTGGAGCGGTGTGCGGTGAGCCACTGGGCGTGGATGCGCCGGACTTCCGTGTGTGCTTTGACTCGGCGGAGCGGAGATGGACCGTGGCCTGGAAATGGCGTGACGGCGAAGGTCCCGAGTGCCTGACGAACACTGTCGCCCAGTATACAGTGCCGTCAGCCGCACGCCGTGAATATGACGCGGAATTGGACGCATGGATCGCACAGGGCTGGCTAGTGCCGTACGATGAGGACCGCCATGGGGCGGCGAAGGGGCTGGTGCCGCTGATGGCTGTGCAGCAGAGCAACAAGGCCAAAGTGCGCCCGGTAATGGATTACCGCGAGCTGAACGGTTTTGTATCGGCTCACACAGCCGATGCTGATGTGTGTGCTGATCAGCTCCGGAAGTGGCGCCGTCATGGCGCAAACGTGGCGGTGATAGACCTAAAGCGCGCCTACCTGCAAGTGCATGTAGAGGAGCGGCTCTGGCCGTACTAGACTGTGATGGTTCGAGGCCAGAGGTTTTGCCTGACACGCTTAGGTTTTGGCCTTAATACAGCCCCTCAGATAATGAAGGCCGTTGTGAGGTCCGTGCTGGAGCAGGACCCGGACGTACAGCGTGCCGTCCTTCCGTATGTGGACGATCTTCTGGTAAACGAAGACGTGCTGAGCGCAGACAGTGTGGTGGCGCACTTCGAGAAGTTCGGGCTGAACTGTAAGCCCCCAGAGCGGGCAGCCAGCGGAGCTCGGCTGCTGGGCCTGCGCGTCCAGACTCCAGGCAGAGGGCGGCAAACTGCAGTGGACTCGGGACAACGCGGTGGGAGCGCCGCCGGCACCTGTCACGCGCCGTGCCGTGTTCTCGTGGTGTGGGCGGCTGGTGGCACACCTGCCCTTGTGTGGATGGCTCAGGCCTGCGGTGGCCTGGCTCAAACGGCGTGTGAACCAGATGACTCGGGCGTGGGATGACGTCACCGATGACGCAGCGCTGCGTGCTCAGCTGGACTATGTTGCAGGCCGCTTGAATGGTGACGACCCAGCCCGCGGCACGTGGTGCGTTGAGGGTGACGCCATGGTTGTTTGGACGGACGCCAGCTCCCTGGCCACCGGAGTCGTGCTGGAGTCAGCGGACGGTGACGTCATCGAGGACGCGTGCTGGCTAAGACATAATGAGGCCACGCACATCAACATGGCCGAGCTGGACGCCGCCATCCAAGGCGTCAACCTGGCTGTCGCCTGGGGAGCGCGGACAATCGATCTCCGCACCGACTCGGCCACTGTTCATCGCTGGCTTGATGACGCCATCAGCGGCCGCGCGCGCCTCAGAACAAAGGCGCACGGTGAGCTGTTGATTCGGCGACGTGTGGGGATCATCTGTCAGCTGGTCGGTGAGCTGCGGCTACGACTGTCGGTGACGCTCGTGCGGTCGGCTGAGAACCGAGCTGACGCACTGACGCGAGTCCCCAAAGACTGGCTTCGTAACGTGAGTGTGACTCGAGAGTGCGAGTCTCCATCGCCCGGAGTCAGTGCGGCGGTCGTCTCCGAGCCGCCGCCTCTGGCCTGGCCGGTGCCGCCGCTGGGCGTGCCGACGGCGGTACGGCGGACGAGCTCCGTGCAGCCGTGTGCCAGTCACACGATCGGGCCGGCCACCCCGGTGTCCGTCGGACATTGTACTTTGCCCGCCGTGATGTGTCGCGTGACGTCACCCGGGCTATGGCTCGTGCGGTGGTGGAGAACTGTGACGCGTGCCGCTCGATTGACACGGCCCCGGTGCGGTGGAGACATGGCTCGCTCGGCGTGTCTGTCCCGTGGCAGCGCATATCCATCGACGTCACCCATCACCGCGGACAGAACTACCTCACCATCATTGACTGTGGGCCATCGCGCTTCTGCGTATGGCGCTCGCTGCGTCGCGCCAACGCCATCGAGATTGTTGGCCACCTAGAGCAGCTATTTCTCGAGCGCGGAGCCCCTGAGGAGATCCTGACAGACAATGACACGGTGTTCCGTGGCCGTCATATGGCTGTGCTCGCGGCGCGGTGGAGAGTGGCTCTCAGATTCCGAGCTGTCCACGAGCCAGGCGGGAATGGTGTGGTGGAACGGTGCCATCGGACAATCAAAGTCATCGCCGCGAGGCGCCAGTGTACCGTGGCCGAAGCGGTTCACATTTACAACGTGACCCCGCGCGATGGAGTGACGGCAGAGTCCGCCCCGGCATCCGGGGTGTATCAGTACACCGTGCGGGATTGTATTCGGTCCGCGCCGTCTGACGCCGCTGAAGCTAGCGAGCGGCACTCACCCGAGTCTGACGACCGGTGTCGTGTTAGGCCGCCGCTATCTGACGCCACGGAGGCTGTGGGGTCACCCCCACTTGTATCTGACGGGGCGCGTCTCAGAGTGGGGGACAGGGTGTGGGTGCGCCGACGTGGGACACGCTGCACAGATATGTCACGGCGCGGGACGGTGACGGGCTTGGTGTCGCGACAGGTAGTCGAGGTCGATGGGGTCCCATGGCACGTCAGAAGCGTTCGTCACCGATGTGACCGGCAGGACAGCGACGGGGACAGTGACAGTGTCGATGACGGCGACGGGGACAGTGACAGTGTCGATGACGGGCCGCGATTGTACGTGGACTGTCACTGGGAGGCAACCGAGGACGGCGCTGACGCGGTTGTAGACAATGGAACGACCGTGCGTGCTGTGCCTGAGACACTGCAGCACGCCACGGAGCAGACGGGGACTGAGCCCCCTGCAGCCGAGCCGGCTGTGGCTGAGCCTCCTGCAGCCGAGCCGGCTCAGGTCGAGCCGGTGCTGCTGCGGCGGAGCGCCCGCCTGCAGAGTCGGATGGTCCGTTAGTGGTGCGTACTGCAGTGTGGTCCACTGAAAATGTACTAGTATGATTCTTGAGTATCAGGTGGGAGTGTGTCGGCGGTTGCTGTGGTATCGAATGTGACTGTAGTGTGTGAGTCAGGCATTGCAGCGTGCCCTGTGAGCCCGCCGCGGCGTCGGCGAACAATGGGGCCGGGTCGTCTTCTTCACTTGACACCCGCCGCTGAGTGATGGCCACCGCCGCGACGGGCTGGTGTGGAGTGAGTGTGCCGGCCAGCCAGTCCTGCTCTGGCTAGCCGGCCGTGCGGTCCATATATACAGTCTACTCGTGGTTGTTCCCGTTTTACTTTCTACACTCCATTCACAGCCCGCTTTGTGCCGACAGGATACCCCATGGAGATGGACACCTCAGGGGACTGGCCAGAGGAGCCGCTGCGGCTGGCCGGCCTGCCGCCTGCCTGGGATGAATTCAACCAGCTGTCGTCACCCCCGGCGCCATCACCGTCGCCGGCGCGGACCGCCAGCTCGGCCCGGCGCAGCCGCCGGCGCCTCTCCGGGATTCAGCCCTGCTCCTCGCACCGTATGACGCTGCGGCGCCGCAGCGGCGTGGCCCCGCTGTCCCCAGTGGAGCGCTCCCTGGGCGCCCTGCAGCTGGGAGACGGCGGCCCCGAGGAGCGGCCGTCGTCGACCAGTCCCGCGCCGGCTGCCGTCGACGTCCCGCCGTTGTCGCCACCGCCGCCGCCGCCGCCGCCGCCGCCGCAGCCTGGTACGGCGGAGAAGCCGGCGCGGCGTCCCGCCCGGCGCCGCTCGCTGGTGCTGCTGAACGCCCCGCCGCCGGCGCCGGCCGCCGAGACCACGCGGAAGTCGCGGCGGCGCTCGTTCGGCGGCCGGTCCGCGGCCGACAGAGACCTGGCCGACGCGGTGCCGGAGCCGAGCGACGGCGTCGACAAGGAGAACGGGTGGCTGGGAGACGGGGAGCGGCCGTCGTCGCCCGTCCAGTCCGGCCAGGACCGGGGCCGGTCGGCCAGCGAGACCGACCTGCTCAGGGAGGTGGCGGAGTGGCGGCGCGGGGCCAGCGCGGGGAGCCGGGCGGCGGGGCCGGAGGGAGACACGGCGGACGGCTGCGGGTCTGTGGCGGCCCGCGACACGGCACAGGACGCCGCCAGTGCCGACGAACCAGCCGCCAGCCAGCAGCCCCGCCGGCCAGCGGCGGCTAGCCGGCGGCAGCGGCGCCGGTCCGCCGGCGGCGCCCTGTTCCCTGCCGCCGAGCTACCGGCCCCGCCGGACTCCGCGGCCGCCGGTGCCGAGACGGAGACCATGGAGTCGGCAGCAGCAGTCACCTCTGTCGCCTCCGACACCGCCGCTACAGACACCGCCGCCGGCCCCTCGGCGCCGACGCCCGCAGCCGGCACCTCGGTGCAGTCCGCGACTGGACTCCCGGCCGAGCTGGTGATGTATTATTTGAACCAGAACTACCAGCCGCCGGCCGAGAGCCGCCTGCCCACCATCGCGGAGGAGGTGGCCGAGCCGGCGGCGCCGGCGCGCCCGGCCCGGACGGCGCGGCGCCGCTGCGCAGCTGACCTGGGTGTGGTCAGGAAGTGCGCCATGGAGCTGACACCGGCCAAACAGCGGCTCCGAAAGCTGAAGGCCCAGCGGTTGAACGGCAAGGCGCGCAGCCGCAAAGGTCGTCCGACTACGCTCAAGTTGAGTAAGCAGCTGGACGCGCGGCTGAATGAGCTTGATTTGTTCCACAAAGAGCAAGAGGCGCGGGAAAGGGCGGAGCAAGAGGCTCGGGAACGGGCGGAGCAAGAGGCTCGGGAGCTGGCAGAGCGAGAAGGGCGGGAACGGCAGACGGCGGCCGTCCCAGACTGCGCCGGGTCCGCAGAGAACGAGCCTATGGACGTGGAGTCGGCCCCTGCACCGCTCCCGTCGCCGCCGCTAGCGGGGAGCGCGGCCCGCTCGCCCGGCTCCGACTGCGGCCAGTCGCCGCTGCTGGGCCGTCCGCCGCGCTCGCCGGCGCCGCTGGGCCCGCTGCCGCTGGTTGTGCCCGACCTGGACGCCACCTGGACCCGCTCGCCGGCGCTGGGCGACGTGGACCTGGACGGCAGCGTGCTGAGCCGCGCCGGCTCCGAGCTGGTGCTGGAGCTGACCCGCTCCAGCGTCGACTCGACCCTGTCGGACGGGCGGTCACCGGACGGCCCGCCGCCGCCGGTACGGAGGGCGGCCGCGTCTCCTGTGATCGTGGGCGGCGGTGAGTTGAATCTGGCGGCGCTGCGGCGCGCCGACCGACTCAGTGACGGCGAGGAGGCGCCCTCGCCGTGTGTGGGCGGCCGCCTGGACCGGGCTGTGCTGCTCTCCCCCGGCGACTCGACGTGACGGCCCAGCCGCGTGCCGGGCGCTCCCGGGACGCTGGGCGGGCAGAGTGGGGACTGAGGCGTGGGCCCAGCGAGGCGTGTGCTGAATTCAGTGTCGGTGGCACGTGGCGGTGCTAATGCTACGTCAGTTGTGATGACGTGACTCTTAGTAGATTTTCGGACTTGTGTGATGGGATATGTTGATATGGTGTCGGCGTTACGTGATGCATTGATCGGAGCTGTTTTCGGTGTGGGTACCGATCCGAGGACCACCCTGCTGCTCTGGATCTGAGGGGTCGCCCTCAGATTCTGCAGCTTCAGATCCCGTCTCTGTGCACGCGTCGTCATGTCAGCAGTGGGTGAAGTGTCTTGCAATCTACTGTCATACGTGGAAGTAGTGGAATATTTTAGATCTTGCCCAGATCGTGCCATTACGCGACATCCAATTCTCGTGTGCTCCAATATGCCGAAGTTGTCGGCTCTTTGGTTCTGTGTTCTTCGCTAACGTGCTACACTGTAAATACATACGAATGTCGTAATCACCGCTGTGATCGTCTTCGGCCTCCTGTCAGTGTGCGACTGACAACGGCGGAGCTTACGCGACCAACAAATAAGGCGATAAATCGGCGTGCCTTACTTTTATTGGTGGTTTCTTGTTGACAAAATATTGCTAAGAAAGCGCTATTTAGTATGGGAAATTAGAATGAATGATGGGATTTGGGGACCCTATCTTATTTACTGTAAATCTGATGATCTTGCAGGCGGGGAATCAGCAGAACTGATGTTGACCGAGCCGAGCCCATCTGAAGACGTTAAATGGGTTTTGGAGTTGAATGAATTTTAGATAATAATAAGATCCAGCTAATCATTGACTTCTTATTTGTACAGCATGACGTTCTAGGACAGATACAATTTGTATTGAAATTGCCGCAGCCCTCAAAAAGCACGACTGAGTATGTATGCATAATGAATGAATGACCTTAGAGATTGTGCCGATTGTGCTATCTTGCAGAATGGCTTTTTATTTATATATTTAATGAAATAGTAATTATTGATCAATGATGATCCAACCATGACGTCTTTAGTAAATGGATCGGCGGATCTCCTGTTTTAGTATAATGATGAAACATTATTTCTCGAAATTAATCATTTGGTGGCGGTGTTCTACATCAGAAACGTATCATGCAGGCCATGATCGAGCAAGTTTATCCTCATGTGCTTGCTCATGTGTTTCGTGCTCTTCGACTTCCATTCGCACACGTTCACGGAGAGGTTTTGTTGCGGATTGGTTTATATTGCGAAACACAAATTCAACTGAACAGTTGTGGGAAATGGTCATTGGCAAGGCGTGTCAGGCTTGAGTGTTTCGAGTGACGCAAGGAAGGAAAGAAGGAACGGAGATTTCATCCGGCGACGAGTCAGAGTCGTAATTTGAATTTATTTTTAGTTAGAAACAAAGGTAAGCTGATTGTTCGACATATCATTCAGGTATGTGTGCGGCTGCCTGTGCTGTGTTATTTTTTACGGTGATTGGTGCCACTGCTGGTGAGTGGAGTGGTGCCCGACTGGAAAAAATGCCTCCACTACGCTGAAGTTCTCGGCGGAGGCAGGGGGCGTCGAAGTCTAGTTCCTACCAAACTGGCACCAAGGCCCTATATACCAGGTAGGGTCGTCCGGCGATTCTACCTTTTCGTGACGTCAGCTCGTGACGTCATTTGGAGTCAAGTCTCGAAGCCCCGTTCAATCCCCATGTAAATGAGCGATTTTCGAAGCACTGTAGAATGAAGTCTGCACAAGATATATCAAACCTAAGTATCTTATCTGAAAGAGCAGACAATTTTCTGCAAGTTATCTATTACATGTTTTTCGCTAAATCTTTTGCTTTTTTCACAAAAGCGTAAAATGTCCCCCTATGTCTCCGCAGCCTCCCTGCCGCCGGCCGCCGCGCGGTCGCGGTAGTGTAGTGGTTAGCGTGCCCGCGCAGTATTCCAAAGGTCCCGAGTTCGAATCTATGCGGTGCGGAACTTTTATTGCAATTCCAAGCTGAATATACGCACATCCATAATAAATTATTATTCGTATAGCTAAACTGTCACCAAGCTATCCATATAAATTGACTTCACCCAAAATATCGGCAAGATTCTATTAAAATATATTTCAAATATGGCGGCTTGGACTGCCGCGTGCGTTAGGCTCCGCCCATAGCTCCGCCCACATGCGTGACGTCATTCGTGTTAGTGGACACGCAGAGAGATAGGGGACGACATGGGCCTGACTGGCACTCCCATGCCTACGTCACCACGAGGACGCCCGAGGGCATTTACATGTTGAAGATAGGGAAATTGCCATAGTTTAGAGCCGCCTGGAGGGCAACCTTGAGATAGATGATAATGTAAATGTGTGCTAATATGATCTTTAACATGTTATTTATCCAAATCCAGGGCCAATTAATCGATATCTTGTCACGTTTTCCAGTGGTGATGCGCTAGCTTTCGTGGTTCTTGCAGCCAATAAGGGTGTTTCATAGTGCGATTCATCCGCATTATCGACTTTAATGCCATAAACCGCCACGGAACATGTGATTTGCAGCTCCCTGGCGTGATAGCTGCCAGTAGGGCTCCGGAGTCGGAGTCATGAAGTCGGTCGGAGTTGACAGTTCTGACCTGAGTCGTCGAGTCGGAGTCAGAGTCGATTTTATAAGCTGGAGTCTGAGTCAGTCACCGAAATTCGATCCCCTCCGCAGACCTTTCAGGGTTCCGTAGTCGGAGTTGTAGTCGGTCCGAGTCGACAGTTCTGACCAGAGTCAGAGTCGTCGATTTTGAAAGCCAGAGGCGGAGTCGGAGTCACCAAAAATCCATTGCCTCTGCAGACCTGCTAGGGCTGTGGAGTCGGAGTCGGTCAGAGCCGACATTTGAAATCAAAGTCAGAGTTGATGTTTGAAAGTCTGAGTCAGAGTCGGAGTCATCAAGAAACCCATGGACGATCTGCAGTGCCATGCAGTAAGGGCGCTGCCGATCGATGCCCTGAATTGCCTATGATTTATGAATTGAATGAATAGATGGCAATTAATTAGGTACCTTCTATTATTCATCCCTTGCCACTTGGAGGACTTACTTTCAGTAGAAAAAGACGCATTATTTGTTTGTTTATTTATTGACAAATATTTCTTTAAGCAGTTAGGGATACAGACACAAAACACAATGATAGCATAAGCACCTCGCTGGTGCAAATCATTGCTAGATAGATGACAGATGTTGAAATGTGTTGCCATTGAAGTATCTACTGATTTTCCTGGCGGCTCTCGTTTTCAAGTAACTACTGGTCTTGTAAGATCTCTTGATTGCTCACCGTCTGGCGTCTAGTTCCAAGGTTTTCTGAAAGCTAATCAAACGTTACCATGGCTGCTCTTGATGGCATAGCGCTTGCTGGTTCTGGGTTCTTATTTGGTGGTTCTTGCGTCTGATCTTGTTGCTTCATGTTCCATCACATCACATTAAATTTCTAATGGAACAGACACTTCTACCTTTTATTTCACTATCAGTCGACTTGCATTTACCCATGTGGCCTGCTGGCCCTTTTATTTCCACGAAAGAATCTACCAATTATTGAAAAAGCCTCGGATAAAAAGCAAGAAAAGTATGTCAAGTTAAATAATTGCGACGGTCCTAGAAAACCAGAAAAAAATATCAAATAGCCTGTCCATCTCACTTCCCTCACTTCATAACAAAAACTTCGCAGCAAAACATGCGAAAGAGTCCTTAGCAACGCCTTAGCAACGCACTTGTCTGAAGTGCGCAATATGTGTCACATCTGGAAAATTTAGTAGCTACTTGATTATTCAACTAGAGTTGGACTATATAAGCTAGGCTTTTAATAATAATAATAATAATACCGTTTATTTCATGCCATCAGAGGCACATAACACAAATACAGACAGTCACCAACACAAATACATACCACAGAGAGACACTGAACATTCCAGCTCGTTCGTGTTCACAGGCTAACCATTTTCGACTATGCGTTTGAGCGCTGAGCTAAAAACATTTGACACATCAGCATGACTCACAGAGCTCAGATCCAGCTGCATGAGACGGTATTCACGGCGAATGGCACCATGCAAGGTAGCCATAATGCCTGTTCTGCCAACCTCACCATCAAACATAGTGCGTATGATAGCATTATCACATGATAATAGTCGTATGTAAAACAGAAACTGCCTATACGCCACATACATTTTGCAAGGCAGAATGGACAGTGCCTGGCATAGTGGATGATTCCTTGACGATTTAGGTACACCTACTAATTTCTTGATGCAAGAGTGATAAGCAACACATAGTTCACGAAAGGCCTTCTTATCACTCATCATATCCCAGAGCTCACAGCCATACATATTTGCACAATATGAGCGAAACAACTTCACCTGAATTCCCTTGTAGGCATCTCCAACAAGAGAAATAAGCATATTTGTATTATAATATAAGGTACGTTTGATCCTACGCATGTCAGAGCCATCGCCAAGCTTATTATCAATTATGTGACCCAAGTATCTAAACTGATTAACCCAGCTAAGGTTACCGCCTCTGAGAGTTATGACCGGTGGCTTTGAGTCCGACAAGTGAGCTGATGGGTATGAGCGATGCGGAGAGAATTCCATGCATACAGTTTTCTTTACATTGAATTTCAGGTCCCTGGACAGTGCAAACTCTTCGCACTTGTTTACTAATTTCTGCAGCCCTCCCCTCGATGGCGAGAGCAGGACAATATCGTCTGCGTAAGCCAGAGCATTCACAGGCTGACCATCAATATGACAGCCAACATTCATTGCCCTCAAACTCTCAAGGAGCTCATCAATATAAACACTAAATAACAGTGGAGATAAGTTTCCACCCTGTCGGACACCATTTGTAACAGAGAAAGAAGACGACACACTATCAGCCCATTGGACTCCCATTTTTTGCGACCTGTACCATCGAATAAGAAGTTTAAGATAAGGCAAAGGTGCTCCTCTTCCAGCTAGAATTTGGAAAAGCTTCGAATGACAAACTCGATCAAACGCTTTGCTTGCATCTAAAAAACAAGCATATACAGGACTTCCCTGTTTTGTGTAAAAGTGGACCGTTTCTTTCAGAACAAGGGCTGCATGTGTGGTTGAGCTCCCTGGCTTAAATCCAAACTGAGCATCGTTCGTTTGCAAATACGGCTGTAAGCGCTCCACTAAAATAAGTTCCAGAATCTTTGAAATTGTGGTGGAGAGGGCAATAGCTCTATAATTTGAAGTATCATCAATTGTTCCGTTCTTATCCTTGATCAAAGGAATTAGCAGTGAAAAAGTCAAAGCATGCGGTATTCTTCCATGGTTGAGGCAACTGTTAAATAGGATCGACATGACATTAAGCAAGTCAGGCTGAAGGGAATGAAAATGCTCAGCTGTCAAATGATCCCACCCACCTGATTTCCCTCTTTTGAGTTTCCCTACTGCTCTGCAGATGTCATCCGTAGTTACAGGAGGGACCTCTACCATGGGTGCTTGAATGAGCTGAGCAAGTAGAGCAGCATCACTAGTACAACTAGCATCATTGAGCAGCTCTTCAAAGTGTTTGGCCCACATGTTAGCAATATCATTACTTCCGCAGACATTGCCAAAACTAGGAGGAACAGGGGTACCACCACCTAACCTCTTCCTAACTAGAGCCCAGAACTGCCTTTGGTCTTTGTTAAAGAAAGAAACAGCTAGCTTATTAGCTTTAAGAGCAGTTTGCTCTCTTCTGTGTTTCCGGTAAGCATATTTAAACGCAAGGCGGCTTGTTCTCATTTGAGCAGCTTCCTGGCCCGCAGCCGGTGAGCCGCATGACCTCCACCTAAGGAATGCAACACGAGCAGCATTGTGCTTATTTTTAAGCAGGTCATTCCATCCAGCTACAGCCCTTGGGTGACGGCAGTTCTTATTTACATGCTCGAAACATTCAAAAGCACAATCGTGAAGTGTCTGAGCAAAGTTATCAAAGCATCTGGTAACATCATTAATGTGAGAGTCGTGCTCGCAGTCACTAGTGCAAGAAGCTTCGAGATCTCTTATTACGGCAATCAACAGCTCCATTTTATTTCGAACTAAATCATTATAATCAGCAACCTGCTGATTAGTGGCACTACCCCAGTCAACCTTTGAACGAAATGTTACTTGTGTAACTTGAGTGAAGGAAGAGGGAGAGATTCCAAGCTTTACAACAAATGGAATATGGTCGGAGAGACAAGCATCGTATTTAATAGATAAATCACAAATAATGGAATGCAGGCATGGGCTACAGATACAGTGATCCAACCAAGAACAGGTTCCATGAGACCCACTTACAAACGTGTAAGTGTCCTTAGTTAATCCCAATAATAGCACATCAGACACTACTAGTCCATTTTCTGTACAAAACTCTTCCAGCTCATTAAAGAACACTGAGCCATGAGCAT